CACTTGGCCTGGCGCCAGGGCAGGGGGCGTGGCCTGAGTTCCCCTGGCCTGGGCCAGGGTGTGTGCCTTGAGGTCCCCTGGCCTGGGCCAGGGGGCGCAGCCTGAGGCCCCCCCGTCAAGCCCTGCCAGGCAGTGGGGGGGGGGGCACACAGCCTCAGGTCCCTGCTGATTGCTCATTAAGACTCGTTAAGTGAACTCAGCCTCCACTATGGGCTTGACTGTTACGATGTGATGGTCAATTTGCATATTACCTCTTTATTAGATAGCATTTTGTTAATCAATGTGTCTGTTAATGGGCACTTAGGTTGCTTTTACCTTTGGCTATTGTGAAAAATGCTACTCTGACCATGACTCTGTTCAAGGGTCTTCAAGACCCTGATTTCTTTTTTTTTTTATTAATATAGAGAGGAAGGGAGAGAGATAGAGTTAGAAACATCGATCAGCTGCCTCCTGCACATCTCCCCTGGGGATGTGCCCGCAACCCAGGTACATGCCCTTGACCAGAATCAAACCTGGGACCTTTCAGTCCGCAGGCCGATGCTCTATCCACTGAGCCAAACCGGTTTTGGCAAGACCCTGATTTCAATCCTTTTGGGTATATGCCCAGGAGTGGGCTTATTGGATCATAAAATAATTCTACTTCTAGTTTTTGTGGGAACTGTCATACTGCTTTCCATAGCTGCTGTACTGTTTTACATTTCCAACAATAGTACACAAGGGTTCCACTTTTTCCACAACCTTGCCAACACTTGCTATTTACTGTTTGATAATAGCCATCCTCATAGTTCTCCTTGTGGTTTTGATTTGCATTTTCTTAATGACCAGTAACAGTTGAGCATCTTTTCCTGTGTTTTTTTTGGCCAATTGTATATCTTTGGAAAAATGGCCATTCGAGGGCGGGGGGGAAAAAAAAAGGACACTTATGTAATACCCTTTGTAATACTTTAAGCGAAAAATAAAAAAATATTAAAAAAAAAAAAATGGCCATTCAAGTCCTTTGCTTGATTTTTTTTAAAAAAATATTTTATTGATTTTTTACAGAGAGGAAGAGAGAGGGATAGAGAGTTAGAAACATTGATGAGAGAGAAACATCGATCAGCTGCCACCTACACACCCCCTACTGGGGATGTGCCCGCAACCAAGGTATATGCCCTTGTCTGGAATCGAACCTGGGACCCTTCAGTCCGCAGGCTGACGCTCTATCCACTGAGCCAAACCAGTTAGGGCCCTTTGCTTGATTTTTAATGTCTTAGTTGTAGGAGTCTTTCATATATTCTAAATATTAACCACTTGTTAGACAGATGATTTGCAAATATTTCATCCATCCCATAAATTGCCTTTTTACTCTGTTGTGTATTTCATCTGGCTTTTAAATTAGGAAATACTAATAACTTGCTTAAATAAAAAATAAAATATCATAAAAATAAGCTTCAGTATCATATTAGGGACAGTGAAAAGCCAGGACAATGCATGTAGGGAGGAAATGAAGCTGTAGAGAATGTAAAGACAAAAGAATTATGGAGAAAGGTATGTAGTTTTTAATATTTGTGTCATAAATATTTTTATTCCGTTAATTCAATTAAGTTTTAATTTTGCCATCTTTTACCTTTAGTAATAGTCATTCATTCAAAAAGTATGTTCCTGGCCTAGCTGATTTGGCTCAGTGAATAGAGCGTCAGCCTGCGGACTGAAAGGTGCCAGGTTCGATTCCAGTCAAGGGTACACCTGGGTTGCAGGCTCGATTCCCAGTAGGGGACATGCAGTTCTCTCATCATTGATGTTTCTCTCTCTCCTTCTCCCTTCCTCTCTGAAATCAATCATATATATATATATATATATATATATATATATATATTTTTTTTTTTTTTTTAAGCATGTCCCCAGTGTCTACAACTATGGCATTGCCTGCACTCAAGAGGCTTTTAACTTGTTAAGAGATTAAGGTAAGACAGATATTAAAAACTAAGGTGGAATGCAGTAAGTGCAATACTAGAAATGCTGTGAAGAGGGCGCCTAAAAGGAACAATTTATCTTCTGTGTGTGCCTTCCAGCATAAGCGGATCTGCCCACTCTGAATGAGTCTCTAGTCACTTTTGGGGGCTTTCCTGGTATTTCTGATCACTTCCCGTGGACAGGGCATTTTCTTGTAGTTGATATTTTTTTGAAGTGGAAAAGCCATGGCTATTCCAATCTAGGTCGAAACTCAAAAATGAAAAAAATATTAAAACAATCAGTAATAAAATCCAAACTCTTGGCTATAAGGTAACTTTATAATTCAAATCTATGATGGTTTAATTTAGCATAGGTCTCTATCTTCATCCTCCCTCCCGCCCCCAATAATTTTATAAATGTTTAGTGTCTCCTAGCTGTTTCCTCTTTTGATGTTGGTTTCTGTTGAACTTTAGTACCTATAACTATTAGGCAATGTGGTCTGCGGTGGGTAGAGGAAATCACAAGTGTGACCAACTTCTGCTGGAGGCTGACTATTGTTATTACTGGGAGATTTCTATTAAATAACTGGACTAAGGTTACATTCTTAGCTGATCTTTTCCTAGGGCATCCTAGCCTATAGCACTTCTGGCTAGTAGTACCAGAAGGAAGGCTGTTTTAAAATATTATTTTAGGTCAAGTAATTTTGTACAAGTTAACATATATTTTAAATTATAGATTTAAAGAAGTTTTGCATTCTAAACTAAATGGAAGAATGTATAACAAATGTTTTTCATAGAACATTTTTCAGTGAGTTACTATTGTAACAGAATTGCATTACAAAACTTAAATTTCTTTATATGAATAGTGTGACTAGACCCAAATTAAAGCTCTCAAAGAAACTCTCAAAGCATTTAACCTTTTGCGGTCCAATTTTATTTTTGGAATTCAAACAGTCTGGTCCAAATTAATTGACGGGATTGAATGTTGAACTTTTTATTGTTCTTATTTTAAAGTTTAAACCAAAAATTCACTGGTTATAGTAAGTATGTTCTTTAAAACATTTCATAGTGTGGTATCTTTTGAAACTGGTCTGTCGAGTCAGCCTTGACGTTGGACTGAAAAGGGTTAAGAACTTTCTATTTCCTCAAAATAAATTTTTGTTATATTCCATTCAATGAGCACTCCACTGTTTTTGCTCTTCTATTTAATCAGAACAAAGTTTAAAAACAGTGGTTTCCTTTCTAGTGATAAACAATTATCACAAATATCTTATTTGAAAAAATATGTATTGTAGTAAACATTGCCTCTGCAGTAAGAATTCTGCCCAGAATAGCGATGATAACTAAAGTTATCCTTTTTATGAAATTGCTAAATCAAATATCAAGAATAATCATTCATGCCCTAGCCCAGCGGTCGCCAACCGGTGGTCCGCAGACCACTGGTGGTCCGTGAGGTCCAAAAGATTGGCAACCGTTGTCCTAGCTGGGTTACTCAGTGGATAGAGGGTTGACCTGCAGATTGAAGGGTCCCCGGTTTGATTCTCGTCAAGGGCATATGCCCGGGTTGTGAGCTCCATTCTCAGTAGGGGGCATGCAAGAGGCAGCCAATCAATGATTCTCTCTCATCATTGATGTTTCTATCTCTCTGAAATCAATAAAAAATATATTAAAAAAATAAAAGAACAGCTCTAGCTGGTTTTGCTCAGGTGATAGAGCGTTGGCCTGTGGACTGAAGGGTTCCGGTTTGATTCCGGTCAAGGGCAAATGTCAGGTTGTGGGCTCGATCCCCAGTAGGGGGCGTGCAGGAGGCAGCCAATCAATGCTTCTCTCATCATTGATGTTTCTATCTTTCTCTCCCTTACTCTCTGAAATCAATAAAAATATATTTAAAAAAAAAGAATCAGTCACTGCTATATGATCAACATTAGAAGTACTTTTTACTTGCTACTGATCTTTTTTTTTTAATCCTCACCTGAGGACTTTTTTTCCATTGCTTTCAGAGAGAGTAGGAGGGAGGGAGAGAGAAATATTGAGTGAGAGAGACACGTCGACTGATTGCCTTCCACACCTGTCCTGACCCAGGGCAGGAAGCAAACCCAAAATCCAGATACATGTCCTTGACTGGGAATCGAACCCGAGACCCTTGGGTTTGAGGGCCAATGCTCTAACCACTTAGCATACTGGCCAAGGCTTGCTACTGCTCTTGACTGCTTTATGGAAAAACTAAAGTTAGATGAAACAAAACCATGAAAATTGTGCTATATCCAAGTGGCCATATACAATTATAGCAAGATATTTGCCTGCCTCAACCCATAATCAGGCTTAACACCTAGATCTGTAGTCAAAGTGACTTCAGGGTTCTTAGAGCTATCTTAGCATCTGGTTTGGCCTGAAGCTGACTTGGGAAGCATCTCTAAGCTGATGACAGATCTGAGTTTGCATTTCCAGGGACAATTAGGGCCCTCTGGCCCACTTGGCTATATTCTTCCTCCAATCTCTCCAGAAAGGTCCAGGTGTCACCCAAAGGGCCCAGCTGGCCAGCCCACTCTGACCTTCTGACTATGTATCATGGAAGTACTGGAAAGGAAAAGTGACAGCATCATTCTGATTTTCTGTCAATTCTGATTTAAAAACAGGGAAACACTAGTCACCAGTGATTATGGATTTGCCTTCAATGTTAAAAAATTGTATCCATGAGTTCCATAAAATAATATTGTATAATATAAAATAGCTACCTTTACTTTACTCTGCCTTAATCAATTTACCAAGAAATTTTCCACATTCTAGATGACAGGAAACTATGATAATTTCCAATTTTTCTATTTTATAGGAATTAATCAACATTCATTAATGTTCAAAGACAATTACTGATGAGGATTTCCTGTAGAAGTACAGAAATCTTAGAAGTCAACTTTCACCCTCCATACTACATTCCAATATTGGAAATTAGTTGAATGATTTCGATAATTTTGTGCAGTTTAAAATTTTTAGCCCTAAGAATTTAAGGGTTCTGAAATTGCCTCCTAACCTAGCATAACCAAATAGAAGACTGCTAACTTTCAGAACAAGTTGAAAAATAAGTGTTTTATTTTGTTACATTTAATGGACAAAATCCTTATGAGTTGAGTAGGCAAATCTGCAAGCTAAGATTTTTTTTTCAGCTTTAGTTTTAGGTCCACTATCTCTCTCTCTTTTTAAAAAAAGATTTTTTAAATTGATATTTAGAGAAGAAGGGAGAGGGAGAGAGAGCGCGAAACATCGATGTGAGAGCAAAATACCAAGCAGCTGCACAACCTGGGTGTGTGCTCTGACTGGGAATTGAATCATCAACCTTTCAGTACACGGGACATCACCCAACCAACTGAGCCACACCAGCCAGGCCACTATATCTCTCTTTAATGGGCTTTGCACAAAGTTATATTAATAGGCTCACTGCATTAGAGCACCTGAGAGAAAGAGTATAAATTAAGAGTTTATAACTTTTTTCAGATGTACAAAAAAAGCACAATGATAATATCTGTCTTCTTCATAGATTAATGACAAAACCATAATAATTAAGGTTTTTTAACAAGTGTTAAGTAGAAATACTTCTTATCTCCTATCTATACTCTTACATTGATTGTAAGTCTTCGATGAACAGAAAGCTATAACTGTCTCTCTTCAAGTCTGTCTGTATCACATAAGCATTGATCATTTTTGGGCAACTCATTCATAGCTGCCTGTCTTTGCTGAATGGTCTTCACAAATCTGAGCAGATTGACGATGGCAGCAGGTGTCACTCCAGGTATCCGACTTGCAGCCCCAATCTATGAATTGAAACCACAAGAAAAACATAAAATGAGCTATGTCAAATAAAATTTTCTTCCAGTGACAGTAACAATTTATAAAATATTTTCAAAACTATTATCTTGCCGAAACCGGTTTGGCTCAGTGGATAGAGCATCGGCCTGCGGGCTGAAAGGTCCCAGGTTCGATTCCGGTCAAGGGCATGTACCTGGGTTGCGGGCACATCCCCAGTAGGAGATGTGCAGGAGGCAGCTGATCGATGTTTTTCTCTTATCGATGTTTCTAACTCTCTATCTCTCTCCCTTCCTCTCTGTAAAAAATCAATACAGTAACAATTTATAAAATATTTTCAAAACTATTATCTTAATGTTTTCAAAATAACTCTATAAAATAGGTAAAGGAAATGTGTTTATTATCTTCTTTTTTTAATGGGAAAAATGACGCTTAGCGAAATTAAAATGACTTGTCCAAGATCATATAACTAACAGTTGCGGGAATACCTACTTTTTCTTTTCATTAAACTAATGTAACATCCCTAGCAGTGTGTTGGGCAGCACCCTATAATTAATCTCAGTATTTCTGTGTTGCATTTTTACAATGAAATATATGGATATTAACTCTAAGTGATGTAAAGACTAGCCTCAGGCCAGTTCAGGTCAGATTTCTGTGACAATGGATATTTTCTATAACATTTGCACTGTAACAATGTTCTGTCCAACATGGTAGCCACTAGTCATATGTAACCACTGAGCACCTGGAATGTGGCTAATATGAGTAAAGAGTTGAATTTTAATTTTTAAAAATTTTAATTAATGTAAATGGTCTATTTGGCTAGTAGCCATAATTCTGGGCAGTGCAGCCTATGACTATCCATAAAAATATAACCCCAAAACGAATAGTATATATAGAGGTATAAAATTTAAGGCTTGTTTCCCTTGTTTCCGTGACTACTGCTAGGAATACCATGACATATTGATGAAATCACTCCTTCCTTTAAAAATCATTAAAAAAATATTTACAGACCATATTTTTGTTAAATGTTCCTTTTTTGTTATGAACCACTATTAAAAACAACAACAAAAAACCCACTGTCATTAAACTATGGTACACTATCAATTTTTAAGTTACAACTCAGCTTTTCAGATATGTTAAAATGTATGTCTTAGAATCAATAAATACAGCCTATCAGTCTTCAGCTATTTATTAGAAGTTCAATACTATAAACTACAAAGGTTTTTATAGACATTTACAGATGTGTGTACATGCATGTGGATGGCACATGCATGTGCAAATACACACACACACGTGGGCTAAAGCATGGGGCAGGAAACCTCTTTGGCTCCCCTTTCTCCTAGTTGCTCCCAAGGCCATACTATGGAGCCCCTAGAGAGGGATCCGAGAAGTGATTTGAAAACCACCAAATTATAATCAACCGAATTTTTGACTGGTGGTTATTTAAACTAAGCTTTTTCTTCATAAAAATATACTGACATCTGTCACAGAAAGAGATATTGAAAATAAGAAGTTACGTTTTTTATGATGAAATAAACCATTAGTTATGTGATCATGGTAATTCCAGGTTTAAAAAGAAAGCACTGGCTCTTAATTTATAACCTATTCCTATCCACTGCCCGTGTTCTTACCGTCTGTGGGCGACTGAAATGTAGCTTCTCTCGAACTTCATGGGACAAAGACACATCCCTGAGAGTCAAATAATCTAGGTCTTTTGGCAGTTGGAGAGCTTCATCTCGCTGAATGTCCTTTATTTCTTGTTGCTGATAGAACAATACTGTTTCATAAGTGGCTGGTGAACAAAATAAATTATGTCATGATAGATTCATTAACAAGTTACATTTTTATAACTTTTTATAATTTATAAAGAGCTTTTGCTGCATTATCTCATTCAACACTTAATCTCAACACCGTGAGATAGGTGGGTTACCTGTTCCCTTTCGCAGATGAGAAATTAAAGCTAAAATAGAGGGAATATCTTACATATTACTACAACATTCTGTCTGGTAGTATACTGCATGCCCTTTTCATTTCAAAAATTTGGAAAATTAAGAGAAATTGTGTTTCTTCTCAGTGCAAATTTTGGTGGAACATTCCTCAAAAGGCTGTGGGTTTGAATTTTAAGTCCTAAAGAACAGATGTTTCTTCAAGAAAATGGCTCTAAATTATGAACATATAAAGCTGTATTTTTTTAATTTAAAGCTTCTCAGATGATAACATAATTTAACTGAGGTTTTATTCAGACGTAAAGTTAAAAAGATAATTCAGCCATTATTTTATAATTAAAGCATTCTGTTCTTAGAAACATAAATTCAAAATTTATTTTAAAACCTAACCTGAGGTACTTACTCTGTCCTGTTCAAGAAAGTATGTCTTCCCTGAAGGTTTTGGCAGCACCTGCTTCCATCACTTGTCTGGCAGCTCTGAGGCTGGCTCTGCCAATGAATTACCCTCTAAATATGGGCATGTCATAATCATTCTGGCCCTCAGTTCTTTATCTAGAAAATGTAAGTGCTAACTCAGATGACTTCTGATGGTCTTTAATGGTAAAAAGGGTGGTTGTGAAGTACACAGGCCTTAGTCAGACAAGCTAGATTCAATCCCAGCTCTGTCACTAACCAGTTGTGTGTTCTTGGGCAAGTTACCATTTATCTGTAAAATTAAGGTAATAATGCTAATACCTATTCTTCACAGGACATCTATAAGTATCAAATGAAATAATGCACATAAAGGGCTTAATACAACATGACAAAATAACAATTTAGTACAACAAATTGTAATACAACTTTATGACTTATGAATAGACTTGGCAAGGGATCATGGAATATAAATGAGAAAACATATATTAAAGTATATTTATTTAATCTTTCAAATATGTATATAGCAAAAACATCAGAGATAATACAAAAAATCTGAAGTTGATTTCTGCCTTTAAGAAACTTAAAGATACTCTAGTGGAGGATCTGTGAAGTAATTGGAAAACCACTGATAAGTGTTATATTTCAACCTAGTGTGGTTTCTTTTAAGGCATGGATACGAATTAGAGTCTTTATTTACAAACAAGTTAAAAATCATTATTCTGGATTATTCTAACCTAAACCTGGTGATTTATTGGACAAATTAAGTTGCAAATCAAGTTTAAAATGTAGAATTTAATCACTTTTTTCCAGTGCTAAGAGCCTAAACATTCAATAAAGTAACTTTTACTTAATACAAAAATCATGATATTGAAATAAAAGGTCAACATTACTTCTTATACATTAGTACACTACTAGTGTCTGGTTATTTGAAAGAATGATTCTGGAGTTTAAATGGGTTTCCTTTCGTTGCTAGGCTTTTGTTAACTTGCATGGTGGAATGGCAGGCAGCACTTGGGTCATCCTATAAAAGCAGCCAAAGCATAGCAAGGTGATAGGCTTCTGGAACTGATAGAAGATGCCATGGCTAGAAAGAATGTAGCATTCTTACCAACCAACATCGCTGGGCCCAAGCAGCTTTAAAGTCCTTTCCTGTTTGAACAACACATCATCATCCAACTTTTCCTACCGTTCTCCCCATCTCATTCTGTTCCTTGCCTTTTTACCACCCCAGGAAAACACTTCCTCTATCAAAATACAGAAGCTGATCTTATTCTCAGTATTTTTATGTTTGAAATTTTTTACAATGAAAACCTTTTAAAAGTCATCTATAGCTTTGGGAATCAATACACTGACCCAGGGTAAGACTCAAGAATATGGATTTCTTTGTTTGATACAAAATAAGTACCTGTTAATGGAAAAATGTTCCAGTATACTGTCAAAGCCAACCATAGTAATATTTTTCTCATTATTAGAATATTATATAGGAAACTGTAAAAAGGAAGTTAAAAAAAGAAGTTGTTGCTTTTTTCTTCAAGGGAGAGATTTACAGTAGTAGTTCCTAAACTTGAAATGTGCACAGTAATCACATGGGGATCTTGTTAAAATGCAGATGTTTACTCAGTGGGTCTGCAGTTCTGCATTCCTTCTGCATTCCTAACGAGCTCCCACGTGCTGCAATGCTCCTAGCCTGGGAACCCCACGGAGCCTAAGACTATGCTGGTCCTATGGTAATAATGGCTCCTCTTAAATGGCTGTCCATTCATAATTTGTACAAATGGAAAAGAGATAATATATATAGGCATCTTAAGTAAAAGAAGTATATCCTACCTTCTATTTTCAGTCTTTCAGCTAGCTCTCTACATTGAGTATACTTCTTCAAGGGCTCTGGAACAGCCTTTGCTAATAACTCCAGGTCAACTTCTTCATACTTCAGAACATCTAGAGCTCTGCAAATATACAAAAATTTCATTAACATAGGGGTCCATACAACATAAGACAGATTAAGAACAGGATTCCTTGGAAATAATAATCTCAGAATAAATAATATCAAAAGACACCTAATTTTTTCCAAGGACAGTGAACAAATGCAGCAGCATCTGCAACACAGAACCTCAATAAGATGTGTGTGATTCTCCCCAACTCCCTTCCCTTATCATGAGAAATGAGTTGTTGGCAAAGTTTGCATTGCTATAATCCATTTGTCCTTTCTTGTAAGGACAGACTATCCTCTGATAACAAGGGTTTGATTGAATTCCCTATGAATTTACATCTAAGCCATAGCCATGTAAGCCCATGTTCTGTAAGAGAGTCATCCTTTTGCATGCTCGGACCCAGCTGAAGGAAGTCTCCTGCTTGCTCCAAGACTGCAAAATATTCTACACTTTCCCTCTCATTTTGTGTGGTTTTCACGAGGCCCCACTGATCTGTAAAGTTTCCCTATATTTACTACCGTAATTCATTTTATTTTTATTTACTAACTTTGATCTTTCCCTCTTTTTGTAGATTGCCTTTTTAATAAATGCTGCCCACCCAAAACCAATTAAAACAAGTCATTATCAAATTAACAGGAAGTCAGATCTGCCCATCCAGGGGTCCCAAGTACTTCACAAAAAAACTACCAGATTTAATAAGCCAATTTGGCAAAGTAGCAGGATACAAAATTAACACCCGGAAATTGATAGCATTTTTATACACCAATAACGAACCCTCAGAAAAAGAAACTAAAAACATACTACCTAGAGCAGCGGTTCCCAACCTGTGGGTCGCAACCCCTTTGGGGGTTGAATGACCCTTTCACAGGGGTCGCCTAAGACCATCGGAAAACACATATATAATTACATATTGTTTTTGTGATTAATCACTATGCTTTAATTATGTTCAATTTGTAACAATGAAATTGGGGGTCACCACAACATGAAGAACTGTATTAAAGGGTTGTGGCATTAGGAAGGTTAAGAACCACTGACCTAGAGCAATCTACAGATTCAATGCAATCCCTATTAAAATATCAAAAGCATATTTCACACATCTAGAACCAATATTCCAAAAACTTATATGGAACCAAAAAAGACCCTGAATAGCCACAGCAATCTTGAGAAAGAACAGAGTTGGAGGGATCACAATACCAGATATCAAACTATACTACAAAGCCACTATAATCAAAAGAACCTGGTGCTGGCACAAGAACAGGTATATAGACAAATGGAACAGAATAGAGATCCTAGAAATTGACCCAGGACAATATGGCCAATTAATATTTGACAAAGAAGGTAAAAGCATACAATGGATTAAATACAGTCTCTTTAATAAATGGTGCTGATTAAATTGGACAGGTACATAAAAAAAACACACAAAAAAACCTGCAAAAAAACTAGACAACCAACTTACACCATTCATAAGAATAAACTCAGAATGGATAAAAGACATAAATGTAAGACATGAAACCATAAAAATCCTAGAAAAAAACAGGCAGTAAAATCTCATTTTCACTGATACATTGCCTAGGGCAAGGGAAACAAAGGAAAAAATTAACAACTGGGACTACATCCAACTAAAACGCTTCTGTACAGCAAAAGAAGCCATCAACAAAATGAAAAGGGAGCCTACTGTATGGGAAAACATACTTGCCAATGATACATCTGATAAGGGTTTAATTTCCAAAATATACAAAGAACCCATACATCTCAACACCAGGAAGACAAACAATCCAATTAAAAAATGGACAAAGGCCGAAACCGGTTTGGCTCGGTGGATAGAGCGTCGGCCTGCGGACTGAGGGGTCCCGGGTTCGATTCCGGTCAGGGGCATGTACCTGGGTTGCGGGCACATCCCCAGTGGGAGATGTGCAGGAGGCAGCTGATCGATGTTTCTCTCTCATCGATGTTTCTAACTCTCTATCTCTCTCCTTTCCTCTCTGTAGAGAATCAATAAAATATATTTAAAAAAAAAAAAAAATGGACAAAGGATCTGAATAGACCAGCCGTGGGCAAACTACGGCCCGCGGGCCAGATCCGGCCCGTTTGAAATGAATAAAACTAAAAAAAAAAAAGACCGTACCCTTTTATGTAATGATGTTTACTTTGAATTTATATTAGTTCACACAAACACTCCATCCATGCTTTTGTTCCGGCCCTCCGGTCCAGTTTAAGAACCCATTGTGGCCCTCAAGTCAAAAAGTTTGCCCACCCCTGGAATAGACACTTCTCCAAAGAGCACATACAGATGGCCAATAGACCCATGAAAAAATGCTCAAAGTCACTAATCATCAGGGAGAGGCAAATTAAAGTGACAATGAGCTATCACCTCATACCTGCCAGAATGGCTACAATCAATAAATCAACAAACAACAAGTGCTGGTGAGGATGTGGAGAAATGGGAACCTTAGTACGCTGCTGGTGGAAATGCAGCCTGGTATAGCCACTGTGGAAATCAGTATAGAGGTTCCTCAAAAAACTAAAAATGGATCTGCCATTTAATCCAGTGATCCCACTTCTGGGAATATATCCTAAGAATCCCAAAACACCATTCAGAAAGAATATATACATCCCAATGTTCATGGAAGCATTATTTACAATAGCTAAGATCTGGAAAACAGCCCAAGAGCCCCTCAGTAGGTGAATGGATAAAAAAAGCTGTGGTATATTTACACAGTGGAATACTACACAGCTGTAAAGAAGGACCTCTTACCCTTTGAGACAACATGGAGGGACCCAGAGACTATTATGCTAAGTGAAATATGTCAGTCAGAGAAAGACAAATACCACATAATCTCACTTGTAAGTGGAATCTAATGAACAAAATAAACTGACAAACAAAATAGATCCAGTGACATGGAAGCAGACAACAGACTGATAATTCTCAGAGAGAAATGGGAGGGGGGGAGGAAGAGATGAATCAAAGAACATATATGCACATATACATAACCCATGGTGAAGGCCTTGGGAGAGGGCAAGAGGAGGGAGGGGACAAGAAGGGGATATCTGTAATACTTTCAACAATAAAGATAAATTTTTAAAAAAATGAGTAGGGAGTCTTTAAAATCTCTCTGAAATGATCTCATTTTTCTGTAAATCCTGTAATTTGTAAGTTCTGTAATTGATATTAAAAATGCATACCTGAGAGATACAACTTTACCCATACTTATAGAAGCCTCTGGGGATTAACTTTTTCCATTTAGAACTTGAAAACTCAATGGATGTGGAGACGGAAATGCCTTCATCTAAAGAAGACTGCATCCAAGAAGCTCTTTCATATCTTTGTTGGGACACACAGCCAGCTTCCTTATACCCCTAGAAGGGAGGAGAGAACATAATGAGAGAGGTCTGAGAGAAGAGTAAACCTGGTTGGCAGACTCAGTGAAGAGTTACCTCGGAATGTGAGGCGGCTGTCAGCATTATCAGGGCGCAGTGACAAACGGAACTCTGCTCGGCTGGTAAACATTCGGTACGGTTCGTTAGTGCCCTGTGTGGTGAGGTCATCAATCAGGACTCCTATGTAGCCTTCTGTTCGGCTAACGACAAAAGGAGGCTTGCGTCTGACCCGAAGACTTGCATTGATTCCAGCTATCACACCCTACAAGAGGACTGAAATGTTTAAAAGGCCATTATGAACTGAATAAAGAGCTGTCCTGTTCAGAACACTACCTAGAAAAAAATAGCCTGGGGCAATAAGAAAGCAGGTACTGCCCAGAATGGATAGACTCGAGGTAGAAAATCTGAACCTTATTCAGAAACAGAATATGGGTAATGTACCACTTTACAACGCTATGATTCATTCAATACATGCCTAAAAACTTTTCTAGCTGTTTCCCACTTATAAGTAAAAAGAATATAAATTCCCACTTAATAAGAATAATATATGATCATTTTCAGTAAAGTTATTTTAAGAGTAATAAAGCCGCAAGTGTTTTTTTTAAAATTCTATTGTATATAGTAACCATCTCCACATAACCTGAAACAGAAATGTCTTCTATTAGTTATGTGTTGTATCTAAGATCTATATGATTATCGTAACAGACATTAAAAGGAGGAACACCGGTTAAATAGTCCCTTTTTGTTGACATTAACATTTGAACAAACTCTTACTTGAGCTGCAGCTTCCTCATAACCAGTAGTGCCATTTATCTGTCCAGCGAAGAAAAGCCGTTGCACCAAATGAGTCTCCAGAGAAGGAGTGATCTGACGGGGGTCTAAGTAATCATACTGAACACCATAGCCTGACCAAAGAATAAATGGTACAAAGTAAGTAAAAACAGAGCTGGAGCCGAAGCCAGTTTGGCTCAGTGGATAGAGCATCGGCCTGTGGACTGAGGGGTCCCGGGTTCGATTCCGGTCAAGGGCATGTACCTGGGTTGCGGGCACATCCCCGGTGGGAGATGTGCAGGAGGCAGCTGATTGATGTTTCTCTCCTATTGATGTTTCTAGCTAGCTATCTCTCTCCCTCCCTCTCTGTAAAAAATCAATAAAGTATATTAAAAAACAAAACAAGCCGAAACCGGTTTGGCTCAGTGGATGGAGCGTCGGCCTGCGGACTGAAGGGTCCCAGGTTCGATTCCGGTCAAGGGCATGTACCTGGGTTGCGGGCACATCCCCAGTGGGAGATGTGCAGGAGGCAGCTGATCCATGTTTCTCTCTCATCGATGTTTCTAACTCTCTATCTCTCTCCCTTCCTCTCTGTAAAAAATCAATAAAATATATTAAAAAAAACAAAAAAAAAACAGAGCTGGATTTGATTATCATTAAATGCTCTTCAAAAATGGACACACTGATGGGGTGGGGTGGGGAGATGAAGGAGGGCATGTGCCGGAGGGTAGGGGAGGCGGGGGGGCGGGGGGGGGTCAATGGGAGGAAAAGGAGACATAAAGTATTACTATTTGTAATACTTTAAACAATAAAAGAAAAAAATGAAGACTATTTTAAATGTCAAGTTGTTGGGCTTTGTCTTCTGAGGCTCTAAGCAGCCCTGACTGCAGTTACGATCTCACTATCTGCTAAGGCGATGCTGAGCTCCTAGTGAAGGGTGCTGTGATTCTCTTTACCTGGCTGGATCATTTTAGCTTTCTCCAAGCCTCTGATGCATGTGATCATTTTCTCCTGTAATTCAGCTGGTAGCGTCACAGATAACCCTTGGGGGTAGATGAGGTCAGAATCTATTCCTTCAGGTTCCAACCAAACCTGATGTATACGGTTTGGAAAACGCAAAACCTTTGATTCAATGGAAGGACAGTATCTAGAACAGGGCATTGAAATAAAAAAATTTAATGAAACAAACGAAAGAGGCTGGCATCATTTCTCAAAGTAATTGAGCAGTGGCACTTCCTCCTTACCGGGGTCCTTTTGTAGTTTCCTTAATGTGACTATTAAGGTGCAGGTTCTCAAGGATAATCTCATCCACTCTAGGGTTGGTGTGAGTCAAGTAACACAGTAGCTGATCTTCTGGCTAAAACACATGAGTTAGTTATAGCACTTTTGCCTCTCTACTAGTTTGCTTCTTATTCAAATAGACTGCACACATAATATTGGATGATGTTAACAGATGATGTTTTGCTGGATGTGATAATGTTATTATGGTTAGTTTTTATAACATTTTTATCTGTTAAAGACATATTACTAAGTATTTGTAAGTGAAATGATGAGATATTTGAGACTGTTGCTTAAAATCAGCAAGAAGAAAGTGTTAAGGGAAGATAAAACAAGAATGCCAAAAAAAGTTATTTGTGGAAGCTGGGTGATGGACACACAGATTCATTATACTATTTCTTCTATTCTCTATAAACTTAAATTTTATAATACAAGTTTTAAAATACACATACCAAGAAAGTATCACAATTTATATTTTCCCAAAGCAAAAATATAAAAGTGAGTTTTCAAAAAAACACACAAAAAAACACACAACAATATTTGAAGCCACTCATTAGGATAACACTTACAAGAAACTAGGACCATCAATTATTAGTCCTCAATTCTAAAAACACAACATACTATTTTTTTTAATATTCAAAAGACAAGGTAAAAGTAACCTGTATTCTTAAAAACTGTCACTATTGTGAAAAACTGAAGAATTATTTCAGATGAAAGAGAAATGATGGCCCTAGCCAGTTTGGCCCAGTGGATAGAGTGTCAGCCTGTGGACTGAAGGGTCCCAGGTTCAATTCCGGCCAAGAGCACATGCCCAGGTTGTGGGCTTGATCCCCAGTGGCGGGCATACAAGAGGCAGCCAATCAATGATTCTCTCTCATCATTGATGTTTCTATCTCTCTCTTCCTCTCCCTTCCTCTCTGAAATCATAAAAGAAATATATTAAAAAAAGAGAGAGAAAATGATTAAATGTATGATCCTAGATTAGAAAAAAAATGGTTGCTATATTATAGGACAACATTGGGATAATCAGTAAAATCTGACTATGGACATTATATTATAATTAATGCACAGGTGGGGTCTGGCCAGCCTGCCCTGATCAGGGCGATCAGGCTGGCCAGCCAGGGAGAGGGGCCACAGGCGGTTGGCCGGCTGGCCCTGCCCTCTGGTCAAACTCCCAGTTGAACTCCTGGCCGAACTCCAGGCTGAGGGGACAATTTGCATGTTATCCTTTTATTATATAGGATAACACTATTGAATCAATGTTAAATTCCCCAAATTTTATCACTGAATTGAAGTTCTATAAGAGAATGTTTTTGTGTTGAGATACAGACTGAAGTATTTAGGGGTGAAGGGTCATGATCTTTGCAATTTGCTCTCAAATGTATCAAACAAAAAAGAAGAGTCAGAATGACACACACACACACACTGAGTGGCCCAGATTATTATGACCACCTGACGTTTGTAGGCAAATTAGCTGTACACTGCATCGTATGGGATATGCAAGCCGAAGGCCTGTTCAAACATCTTTGCTGTCTGCAGTTACCAAGATAAAACATCTCCAATTCGCACAGGAACACAAGGATCGGACAGTGGAGCATTGGAAAAAAGTCATGTGGTCCAATAAATCACGTTTCCAGTTGCATCATGCAGATGGCAGAGTGAGAATTTGGCAGAAACAGCATGAAAGCATGCACCCCATATGCATGAGTACAACCCTTCAAGCTGGTGGGGGCAGTGTATGGTTTGGGGCATGTTTTCCTGGCATGATTTTGGCCCTTTAATTCATGTGGAACAATGTCTGAATAGCACAACATACCTAAGTATCGTTGCTGATCAAGTTCATCCTATCATGTTGATAGTGTATCCCAATGGAGATGGCTTCTTCCAACAAGACAACGCGCCATGCCACAGTGCTCGTATTGTGAACATGAGGGAGACTTTACCTTGCTTAGGTGGCCCCCATATCCAATTGAGCATTTGTGGGACGAAGTTAAAAGAGCCACCAGGCAGCTGGTTCCACAACCATCAAATCTCACAGAACTGGACAGTGCTATTCAGGCATGGTGTCAGATTCCTCGCATCACCTTTCAACATCTTGTGGAGTCAATGCCAAGAATCGCCGCAGTATTGAAGACAAAAGGTGGCCTAACAAAGTACTAATGGGGTGGTCATAATAATCTGGCCACTCATCATAATATATATCCCACATTCAAAGGCTGTTAAATCGCATTGTTTACCCATATCTTCAGAAAAAAAATCACTTCTACTGTCGTGGTAAACAACCTGCTTCCCTATTTATAATGGTCTGGCCCTCTAGCAACTTCAGCGCGAAATTATAGCTAATTTGCCTACAAATGTCAGGTGGTCATAATAATCTGGACACAGTGTGTATATATACATACATACACACACATATAGATATGTATTTAGAGAGAGAAATATGAAAAATTATTAACAATGGGTGAATTTCAATTGTTCATAGGAGATTGTTTTAGTTGCCTTGCAACTTTTCTGTAGGTCTGAGATTGTTTCAAAAAGTTTAAATAGGCAACGTATTGAAGTAATGAAACTTAAGAACATACGGAGAAATGACCCAATCAGCCAAATTAATCCTTTTAAAGATCCTTTTTTTTTTTTGCACTAATAGTGATATAAAGTGCATTGCTACTGAAAGAAAGAGAGAGAGATCACAAAAGAAAGAAAAAGAGAGAGGGAGGGAGGGAGGGAGGCAGGAAGGTGTGTTAGGCTATACAGACAGTCCTCGGGCTACGTCGGACTCCACGTACGTCGTTTTGTGGTTACATCGCCATCTCCCATTAAAAAAAAAAAAAGTTCCATCATTTTGACGTATGTACATATGTGCTTTATGTTTTTTATTATTTATTTACCACAAGTAAAGGTCAGGAATTGTTATCTTTCTTTTAATTTTTTTTTACTGTTTCACTTCATTACTGCTGTGTATGTGCTCCATGTGAGTGCCGTGGGTGCTTATGTAGGTGGGTTCCGACTTACAGCGAAAACGTTGCACCATAGGAACCACAGAAACCATAGGAACGGATCTCCGACGTAACCTGAGGACCTACTGTATCCTTCTGTGAATGGCCAATATTTAGCTGTAAAGCCAGATTTTCATAATTATCTTACCTTAATCCACACTGTTTCATTAATAAAGCTGAATGGTATGGATGGATTATCTGGTGTCTGCTTGTTTAGAATACTGAAATTAATGGACTCTTTGGCAATTCGGGGTGGAGTCCCAGTCTTCAATCTTCCCACCACAAACCCCAACTTCTCTAGAGTCTGAGCCAACCCAATGGAAGGCTGGTCTCCTAAACGTCCTGCCGGATGCATCTCCAATCCAATTACAATCATGCCTCTCAGAAATGTCCCAGCAGTCAGAATCACGCTGTCTGCATAGACTTTGCTTCCATCCACTAAAGGACAGGAAAGACAGTAAAAATCATGTTCTAATTGTACTATGGATCAAATTGAAATGTGACTACTTTATATTAGAACTACAGAAAAACTTTCTCTTTAGAAACTTGAGAAATAATTTCAAATGAGTAAGAAGGCTACATCTTATCAATCTCTAGAATCCAAGAAAGTTGGGAGGGAGAACATAATGTACTATCATCTATTCCTATGTTCCTAAAATTATACCAGCACTGAAAAAGATTAAATCAATTGATTTTAAAAATTAATTAATGTAAGACTTCTGGTTACCAGTAAATCTGATAGACTACCTCCTATAATTCCTTCTTCCTCCTGAAACTTCAAGAAAATGAAATAAAGGGGCAAAAAGGGTATAAAACCACAAGGACAATGAATGGGAGAGAGCTTGCCAAAAGATGAGACATTTCAAAATATTTTTAGAAGACAAAGTGGTTGGAAAAGTGATTAATGATCTAGCAAATGGGAGAAGACTATAAATCAAGAATCTGAAGAGAATACACCAATGGGGATGAACTAATTAGCCCTACAAAGCCCAGAAATGGGAAACTGAGGAATGTAGGAATGAAGCTTGGGGCTGAAATTAAGAGAAATAGTTGAAATCTACACATAAAGGTTATATCTGCAGACAATTCCTTACAGGAAAATTTAGGTTTATTTTTTGGGTAATGGGGAGTTACTGTTTAATGGAAACAGTTTCAATTTAGGATGATGAGAAAGTTCAGAAAGTTCGGGAAATGGATAGTGGTGATAGTTGTACAATATTGTGGATGGACTTAACGGCACTGAATTGTACACTTAAAAATGGCTAAAATGGCCCTAGCCGGTTTGGTTCAGTGGATAGAGCGTCAGCCTGTGGACTCAAGGGCTTCAGGTTCGATTCCGGTCAAGGGCATGTACCATGGTTGTGGGCACATCCCCAGTAGGGAGTGTGCAGGAGGCAGCTGATCGATGTTTCTCTCTCATTGATGTTTCTAACTCTCTATCCCTCTCCCTTCCTCTCTGTAAAAAATCAATAAAATATATAAAATAAAATAAATAATAAATAAATAAAATAAAAATGGCTAAAATGCCCAGCTGGAGTGAATCAATTGGTTGAGCACTGTCCTGTGCATCCAAAGGTTCCTGGTTCAATTCCCAGACAGGGCACATACCTAGGTTATGGGTTCAATCCCTGGTTGGGGAACATATGGGAGGCAACCAATTAATATTTCTCTCTCATATTGATGTCTTTCTCCACCTCCCCACCCCCACTTTCCTCTCTTTAAGCATGTCCTTAGGTGAGGATTTTTTTTAAAAAGGCAGGCCCGGCCAGTGTGGCTCAGTGGTTGATTGTCAACCCAGGAACCAATAGGTTGCAGGCTTGATCCCCAGGAGGGGGATGTGTAAGAGGCAGACAATCAGTGATGTTCCTCTCTCATCGATGTTTCTATCTCTCTATCCCACTCCCTTCCTCTCTCTCTAAAAATCAATAAAAACATATATATTTTTTTAAAAGCAAATTTTATGTTATGTTTACTTCCCCATTTTGCTGAACTATATCCCCCAGTAGCTTCCTAAGAAAAGATGCATGAGAAATAGGTTGTGTGAGTCCTTGTATATCTATAAATGTATTAGTCTCCCCTTAGACTTGACTCTTAATTTGGCCGAGAATAGAATTCTAGTTTAAATCTTTTTTTTCCCTGAGAATTTTGAGTCTTGCTCCATTTTCTAGCTTCCAGTTTTGCTGTGAAGAAGATCAGTGCATATTTACTTAAATTTTTTTGTATATGACATTCTCCCCCATTTCTGAAAGCTTCTAGGATCTTATATGTGTCTCTGGTGTTCTGAAATTTTAAAATGATGTCCTCAGTGTGGTCTTGGTTCATTCATTATGTACTAGGTGTTCTCCTAAAACTAGAAATCTGTGTTACAGATTACAAAAAAAGTTATATTATTAAGCCTATAAAGTAGACAGGGTAAAACATAGCATTTAAAGATATGAAATTAAGTAATAAAAACATAAATAAAGGTATAAGGTCTATACTAATAAAAACAATATAATCATTAAATTTGAAGAGGATAGGAGGCAGAAGAGAGAAAAGGAAAATAAAATAAAATTAACTATTCATAGTGGAAAGTCAACAAACGCTGACAGAAGAAAAAGATTTAGTATGTAAAATCATAATTAAAATAATCACCAGAACAAAAATACAAGCTTCTAAAAAAGAAACATAGTTCCTAGATACAAAGCAAACACAGACTAAGTGTTTAAAAGAAAGTACAGAACAGTGTATATAATATGCTGTTATGTGAAACACACACACTCACACGAAGATACATGTATATTCAGATAGAAAGACACTAGGAATGCTCCTAAAGAAGAAAACTGATTGGTTGGGGGACAGATGAGAGAGAGACCACCTTTTCACCCTATGTTCTTTTGTCCCCTTTAAACTGTTTACTATATATATGTATTCCCCATTTTAAAAAATTAATAAATTGCCGAAACCGGTTTGGCTCAGTGGATAGAGCGTCGGCCTGTGGACTGAAGGGTCCCGGGTTCGATTCCGGTCAAGGGCATGTACCTGGGTTGCGGGCACATCCCCAGTAGGAGATGTGCAGGAGGCAGCTGATCGATGTTTCTCGCTCATCGATGTTTCTAGCTCTCTATCACTCTCCCTTCCTCTCTGTAAAAAATCAATAAAATATATTTTAAAAAAATTAATACATCTATAATTTTATAATAGGGAAATTAAGTCAAGATTTGTATTTTAAATATATTTTTATGGATTTCAGAGAGGAAGGGAGAGGGAGAGAGAGAGAGAAGCATCAATGATGAGAGAGAATCATTGATCAATGCCTCCTGCATGCCCCCTACTGGGGACTGAGCCCGAAACTGGGCATGTGCCCTGACCGGGTATTGGCACTGTGACCTCCTGGTTCATAGTCTAATGCTCAACCACTGAGCAACAGCAGCCAGTCTCAAGATCTGTATTGTAAATGTTGAGATTCTCCAGCACAGCTCCTCTCATTATTTTAAAAAAATATATATTTTTATTGATTTCAGAGAAGAAGGGAGAGGGAGAGATAGAAACATCAATGATGAGAGAGAATCATTGATCAGCTGTCTCCTACACACCCTCAACTAGGAATCGAGCCTGCAACCCAGGCATGTGCCCTTGACCGGAATCGAACCCGAGACCCTTCAGTCGGCAGGCCGATGCTCTATCCACTGAGCCAAACTGGCCAGAGCTCATCATTTTTTAAAATTGATTTTTAGAGAGAGAGGAAGGGAGAAGGAGAGGGGGAGAGAGAGAGAGAGAGAGAGAGAAACATCAATGTGAGAGCAAAACATCAATTGGCTGCCTCCTGTATGCTCCCTGGGACCCGCAACCAAGGCATTGCCCTGACTGGGAATCGAACTGGCAACCTTTTGGTGTACATAAATGAAAACATAAATTTAAAAAATTACAAAGATTCAGAAAATAAAGTTAAGGAAATCTCCTAAGAAAGTACGACAAAATGACAAAATGTACAAATAGAAAAAAACCTAGAAGACCAATCCAGGAAAGGATAGGAGTTATAAGAGAGCATGGAGAAATAATAGAAGAAAATACCTCAGATATCAAGGACACAGATTTCTAGTTTCAGGAGAACACCTAGTATATAATGAATGAACCAAGACCACACTGAGGACATCATTTTAAAATTTCAAAACACCAGAGACACATACAAAATCCTAGAAGCTTTTAGAAGGGGAGGGGGGCCTATATACAAAAAAATTTAAGTAAATATGCACTGATCTTCACAGCAAAACTGGAAGCTAGAAAATGGAGCAAGACTCAAAATTCTCAGGGAAAAAAAAGATTTAAACTAGAATTCTATTCTCGGCCAAATTAAGGGTCAAGTCTAAGGGGAGAATAATACATTTATAGATATACAAGGACTCACACAACCTATTTCCCATGCATCTTTTCTTAGGAAGCTACTGGGGGATATAGTTCAGCAAAATGGGGAAGTAAAAAGGAGACAGACTGAAGTTCCAGGAAATAAGGGATGATGTAACACAGCAGAGTAGTAAAAGGAAGTCTCAAAAGGACATCTGTGGCCCTAGCCAGTTAGGATAGAGTGTCGCCCTGCGGACTTAAGGGTTCCGGATTCGATTCTGGTCAAGGGCACATGCTGGAGTTGCGGGCTCAATCCCCAGTAGGGGTTGTGCAGACGGTAGCTGATAATGATTCTCTCTCATCATTGATGTTTCTATCTCTCTCCCTCTCTCTTCTTCTCTGAAATCAATAAAAATACATTAAAAAGAAAAAAAGCACATCTGTGGCCCTGGCTGATGTGGCTCAGCAGCTAGGGCATTGGCTCTGCATGGAAGGGTCTCGGGTTTGATTCCCAGTCAGGGGCACGTGCCTGGGTCCCTGCCCCCTCCACTCTAAAAATCAATGGAAAAAACATCCTTGGGTGAGGATTAACAACAACAAAAATCACATCTGTGCAGAAGGCCTAGAGAGCAATTGTCTTGATTATAGCAGTAAATTGTGGGGGATTCAGAAGTTGATATTTCTGGAAGGGAAGCATTACAGAAAACTACAGAATTGATAAATTATTTGAGCACTGAGTGTTTTTTTAAAAAAATATATTTTATTGACTTTTTACAGAAAGAAAGGGAGAGGGATAGAGAGTTAGAAACATCGATGAGAGAGAAACATCGATCAGCTGCCTCCTGTACACCCCCTACTGGGGATGTGCCCACAACCAAGGTACATGCCCATGACTGGAATCGAACCTGGGACCCCTCAGTCTGCAGGCTGACGCTCTATCCACTGAGCCAAACCGGTCAGGGCATGAGTTTTTTTCTGATGAAAAAGTTGAACAGGTCAGGTACACAGATAAAATAAGTAAATAAAAAATAAAGCAATTATTAACCCAGGGCAAAAAATAAAAAAAAGAGGTATATAAAAGAAAACAAACATAATACGCTACTTGAATCTGTAGTGAGCAATATTCAAATAATCATAATAATATAAATATTATCAACCAAAATTTATGGTATAATTATATTGGAAGGACAGAAGGAAGGAAAGCAGGGGATAAAAGAGAGCTACCATATCCCTAGCCAATTTGGCTCAGTGGATAGAGTGTCGGCCTGCGGACTGAAGGGTCCCAGGTTCGAATCCGGTCAAGGACACATACCAGGGTTGTGGGTTTGATCCCCAGTAGGGGGTATACAGGAGGCAGCCGATCAATGATTCTCTCTCATCATTGATGTTTCTATCTCTCTCTCCCTCTTTGAAATGAAAAAAATATACTAAAAAATAAAAAAAAAAAGAGAGTTACCATAAAAAAGTTAATAGATAATGTCTAAGACTGATAATTTAGGGGGTAAAAATATAAGCTTATCGTTGAGAAATATGTTGAGTATAGATCAGAAGTGACAGTTAAAAAAACTGAACTATTAGGTTTATAGAGGGGATACAGAAAACAAACATGTATCTATACACGTTTTTCTAAGTACATTCTTTTTAAAAATATATATATTTTATTATTTTTTTACAGAGAGGAAGGGAGATGAATAGAAAGTTAGAAACAATGATGAGAGAGAAACATCGATGAGCTGCCTCCTGCACACATCCTACTGGGGATGTGCCCGCAACCAAGGCACATGCCCTTGGACGGAATCGAACCCGGGACCTTTCAGTCCACAGGCCAATGCTCCATCCACTGAGCCAAACCGGTTAGGGCTATACACATTTTTAAATTCTACTTGATTTTTATAAAAGTTAGGTGTATGTGCTATTTTGATTAAAAAATTAATACATAATTCTTTTTAATATAAAACATATAATAATCTTATAAATATAAGCTTTAAAGATTTAAGGTCAGAACTAGGAAAAATAAATAGTACAAGAGAAAAAAGACACAATTATTCAGGCTAAAGTCCTACACATGGTACAGATGAGCCCATAATTTGACTAAGCTTCACAAATGCCAAAATGAAAGAATTATGATCTTTTATACAGTTTTCCTCATTCATAAAGAGAAAACACAACAATTTCCTAGAATAAGTAAAACATCCCCATACTCTGCTCTGAAATAAATTGCTTACATGGAGCCTGATACTGTTATTATCATCTATAACTAGTACATACCCAAAACAACACCACTGACACGGCATTTCCCAGTGTGCTCAGGTTCTGGTTCTGTAAGTATAAGATCTTCTACAGCTCCCTCCTGAACCGTAAGCAGTGGTGTATTTAGGATTTCTTTCTGTCAAAAGAGAGTGCAAATTGAAACAACAGTTAAGTGATCACTACAATCTTTCCTGTTTTTGTGCCTTATTCTCACCTGCATGTTCTGTTTGTAGAGTTTCCTATCAATTTGAGCTCTCAGACCCCAAACAGCTGGTCCCTTACGCCGGTTTAATATTTTGTAATGTACACCAGACTGGTCACAGATTCGGGAACACAGGCCATCTAAAGCATCCACTTCCCTCATTAAATGCCCCTTTCCGATACCACCAAAGGAAGGATTACAGGACATCTGACCTAAAGAAAATAGACAAAATAAATATATGAGCACCTTGCAATAGTGAGTGCAATAGAAAATTGTTTGTACAAGTGACTAGAATCAGGTCATGTGATAAAAAAATAAGAGACTTGAAACAAATACTAAAAAGAAAATTCCAAAGTCCCAATAGGGTATAATTCAGGGCATTCTGGAAGACAACTCTTGCCTGTAGTTTCCTTTCAATCTTTTCCTTGATGCATATTTTATTTCATTAGGTTGCCTTTTCCTTTAAAATGTGGTTTTTGAAATCTTTACCTCATGAAACCTTTCCAAATCAAGAATACTTTAGAAGTACCTTGGCACTGGTTCACTGTTACAATCAATTATATCTTCTATAAATGCCATCTGTTTTCTTTTTTGCTTATTTTGCAGAAATAATTAAGTTATAAGTTTCTTAAGTAAAAACCATATTTTATATCTTTTCTTTAAAATTCCCTAGTCTTATTTGGAGGTCTGGATACTGCTACTCATCAAAATGACTTACCTTTATTTTTTAATTGATTTGAGAGAGAGAGGAAAGGAGCGAGAGAAAGAGGAGAGAGAAAGAGAGAGAGAGAGAGAAAGAAGATGCTCTAATCAACTGAGCAACTGGGCCAGGGATAATGATGTAGCTTTTAATATCCATTATATATCAGTTAATTTTACAAAAATTTCTGAATCCTACTAATTTCTGACATGTTCTCAAACTTTGATCCCCAGAAATGAGTCTTCTCATACACAGAAGGGGGAAAAAACAGAACACCTAAAATACCAGAAATTACTGAAATTCCACTACTTTCTTGTTTTTTAAAAATATATTTTTATTGATTTCAGAGAGGAAGGAAGAGGTACAGAGAGACAGAAACATCAATGATGAGAGAGAATTATTGATCGGCTGCCTCCTGCATGTCCCGCACTAGGGATCACGCCTGCAACCCAGGCATATGTCCTGATTGGGAATCGAACCGTGACTTCCAGTTTCATAGGTTGACGTGCAACCACTGAGCCATGCTGGCTTGGCTCCACTACTTTCTTATATCCCTAAACTAGAGAACTTCTAGGCACTTTATTAAATTAGTGTAACTATATTATAAACCTATTTATAAAATTTATGTTTGTGAAAGTCAAATGCAAAGAAATCCTCATCTTTTTAAATTGCTGAAAACTTTTTCTCAAAGAAATGTATGCCTATAAGGAGCTTCTCTCCTTATAGGCATAGTTGAACATGTCACTCTCTTTTGCTTAGTCCTCCAAATTTTTCTCAACAGAGAACTCCAGGAAGCCAGCATTCATTCCCAATCATTTGGAGTTGGAATAAGATCTACTAAATCATCTGTGCTCTTAAATAGAGGCTACTAACATCCCAAGTGTGGCACCAGTACCTGGGGTGGGCAGTGGTAGTAGAAATGTATAAATCAGTAAATTTTTCACTCTACTAAAAAATTTAAGTCAGCTATGTAGAAAAGCTCATGGTAAAACAACAGTTAACAATTGACCACTTAATATGGGCCAGCCATTATCCCAGGTGAGTTGCATGTATTTTTCTAACTTAAACTTTCTGACTTAAACCTGATGAAGTTGATACTATTACTTCTATTTCATGGAGAAAGAAAGTGACAGCTTAGATAAACTATCCCTTGCCAAGGTCACCCAGATAATACACAGCAGAGCCTAGAATAAAATTCAGAAAGTCTAACCGCCTCTTAATGGACAATATTCTCCATGAAATGCATAAGTGATACAACATAGACTAGACAGGCTCAGAAGGCTAGTCTCTTTTATGGTGAAAGGCAAAATATAACTTTGCCAAAAAACTTTATTTTCCAGGTGAGTGTGAAAATAGAAGACTTTCTTTCCACCTCTGACTTCACCATTGGCAAATGGTATGACTGAATCATAGCAGGACAAATCTTGCAGTTCAACCTACTAAGCCAAAGCTATCTTTATGAGGTCACGCAGAAATATCTAATACTCCACTATATCGAATTACCTTAGGAAATAAAACCTTGATTTTAAGATAGAATTGTTATTCACTAAGGTCACCTGTAAAAGTTATTAAAGTATCTCTGAGATATATTTACTTTAAAACATATTTTGTTGAGAATAATAATGAGTTTTGATAGGAATTCCTTTAACCCTGACAGAACTACATAATATACTATATAATGATCACTTTAGTTCAATAATACTTTTTTGTTCATTAGATTTTTGTTGTTATTATTATTGAAAGGTAGTACTATAAGCAATGAGTAATTTTTTGGGGAAATCATATCGTTCCTCTCCAAACGAATCACAGTTAAACAGTGTATATTTCTCCACAGTTATGACCTGGATGGCAATTTTAAAAACGTATTTCAGTATACAAATATGTGATTTATTCACAACTTTTACAAAACACAGTTAATATTTTAATTGATCTTCACTCTTAAGTAAAATTCAGGAGGAAAGACATAGGCATGCATCATTTACCAGATACTGTTTTGGCTAGCATCTAGCAGGATGCAAGAGAGCGATCTAGCGCCCTACCTGGTTTGGCTCCGTGGATAGAGCATCAGCCTGCGGACTGAAGAGTCCCAGGTTCGATTCTGGTCAAGGGCACATGCCTGGGTTGCGGGCTTGATCCCCAGTAGGGGGCGTGCAGGAGGCAGCCAGTCAATGATTCTCTCTCATCACTGTTTCTATCTCTCTTTCCCTCTCCCTTCCTCTCTAAAATCAATATACTTGAGAGAAAGAGAGAAAGAGATAGATAGATAGATAGATATATAGATAGATAATCTAGGTCCTAGCGGATTTGGCTCTGTGGATAGAGCATGGGCCGGTGGCCTGAAAGGTCCTGGTTCCATGCCGGACAAGGGCATGTACCTCAGTTGAAGGCTCTGAGGCTCTATCCCCGGCCCTGGTCGGGGCAGGCGTGGGAGGGAACCAATCACAAAACTGGGGAACAAACATCCAGCAGAAATATAGAATGCAACGAAAGGTAAACGATGACTAATAATGCTAGCTCACTCTTTACCCAAAGCAACCAGCGAGTCAAGGTTAACCGGCAGCAATGCAATCAGAAGCTATCAGCAAGCACCGTATTCTTAGTCTCCCCCTTTCCCGAGGCACCGCCCCCACATCCTCCAGGCAACCGCTTTTGTCGGCAGCAGCACAGTCCGTGGCCCCCGGCACAGCCGACCCGGAGTGCCGACCCGGCCCGCCTGTTCTGCGAGGCACAAATCGGGCTAAAATCACCGACCCCAGGATTCTCGCCAGCCTCGCGGGAGGGAACAGGCTGCCCACACCAGGCACGGGACGGGGGAGAAGGGGACTGATTATTCGCGACGTGCGTCCTACGCAAAGCGCCCCAGCGGCCGGGCCCCTCACCGATCGTGTCCACGCGGTGCGTGAGGAGCAGCGTTCGGGAACCGCACCGCGCGGCCGCGGCGGCTGCCTCCGTGCCCGCGTGCCCTCCGCCGACCACCACCACGTCGTAGTGCGGGGCCCAGGGCGCAGCGCTGTCGCCGCGGAGCCGGGCGGGCGGAAGGTGCTGTTTGGCGAGGGAGGCCGCGACCCAGCGACCGCAGCCTCGGAGAGAGAACATGGCTGGAGACGGCAGAGTCCGTCCGACTCCAAACCTGACACGAGCGACGTGCAATCGTAAAGGGCACCGGCGTGAATCTTCAGGGCGCCGCCACCTACGCTGACGTCACGGCGTAGCACGTCTCCGTCCAGCGTCGCCGCTGATTGGCGGTTGGGCGCGACTTGCCTAGTCAATCCAGACCCGGTCCCGCGCTGGTGGCTCCTGGGGCGTGCACCTGGGTCGCGGGCGGTGCAGGTTGTGTGACCGCCTGAGGCTCTGAGTGAGAGACATTGATTTATTGTTCCGCTTCTTTCTGCACGCATTGGGACTTTCTTCTATAGGGTGTCCCAAAGTTCACGCAAGATTTGAATTTTGTGTGAGCATTAACAACAACAAAAAATAAAAGCCTAATTTTACTTGGTTTATTGAATCAGATTCTAATATCTGTTGCCCTTTGATTTCAATCCCTTCAACTTGATAAGCATTACCAAGTACCAATTATGGCCCAGGAGCAGGGACAATGAAGACCAATGAAGACCACGGGTTTGCGTATGTGCCAGCAAAGCCGTGGAGGCCATTTACCCGAAGTGCTCTTCCATACATAACCCTATACTGTATACTTTATGAATCAATAAAAAATTTACAATTTTAATTATAAACCTGTGTTTTCTATCAAAATTACTTCTTGCGTGAATTTTGGGACACCCTATATGTGCCCTGACTGAAGATGGAACCTCCACGGTGGCATATGGAGAGGACGCTCCAAGCAACTGAGTTATCCAGCCAGGGCCTTATTTTTCTCCCCTTTTCAATTCAACTTATCATCTCCCATTATATGTTTATTGGCTGTTTGGCCAAGCCAAAATGTAAGCTTCAGGAGGGCAAGGATGACCTTTGTTTACCAAGAACCTAGAATAGTAGACGCTCAAATGCTTCTTGAGTGACTAAGTGAATTACTGAGACAAACATGAAACATAAAGGGTTAGATGTAAAATCAAGTAGGGCCCTAGCTGGTTTGGCTCAGTGGATAGAGCTTCGGCTTGTGGACCAAAGGGTCCCAGGTTCGAGTGTCAAGGGCACCATCTTGGTTGCAGGCTCCTCCCCATCCCGGACCCTGGTCAGGGCGGGTGGGGGAGGCAACCAATTGATGTGTTTCCCTCGCATTGATATTTCTGTCTTTCCCTCTCTTCCACGCTCTCTAAAAATCAATGGGAAAATGAATCTCTGGTGTTATTTTTCTTCTAGATAAAGTCCAAGATTCACATCAAGACAACTAAAAAGTCATTCCCTCTATGATCTGGACACTGGTTGCTGCAACAAGACTGAGCAAGGAACAAGTTTTCCTCCTTTGAGAGGTCAGTAGCAGAGGTATTTAATTCTGGTCTGGTGGATTGTTGCTTGCATGTTTTTGGTTAAACAAACACCAGTGGACTTTTGAGGACGTTGGAAATGGCTGGAAATCAGTATTGAGCTATCTGTAGAGTTATTTACTGGATTCCAAGACAAGCAACTGGAGTCCTTGGAATAGAAAAATAGAACCATAGAGCAGAGGTCTTCAGAATGGAGTAGACATACCCCTGGGCAATCTGGAAGACCACCCAAGTACACTTCTAGTTTTAAGGAAATGGATTTCCAAATTTCAGCTTCTAGTTTATTCTTCCCTAAAATTGGTCAGCTTGCAAACAAGCCTAACTACCCAACAGTCCTTCCATTTTACAAAGGAAAAATAAATGGATAAAACTCATGAATAAACATCTTTCATATTACAATTCAAACTAGGGCTACTGCCCTATGGTATAAGAAAACCACTTTTTACGAAAGAGAAGGATATATCAAAGTATTGGATTCAGGGAAACCTCTTAAAAATTAATCCACTGGCAGATGAATGAATAAATAAAATGTGGTATATACATAGAATGAAATTATTCAGGCTTAAAAAGGAAGGCTGACATAAAAACAACATGGATAAACCTTGAGGACATTATCTTAAGTGAAATAAATCAGTCATTAAGCCACAAAGACAGTGTGAGTCCACTGCCATGAGGTATCTAGGGTAGTCAAATTCATAGAAACAAAGTAGAAGGGTGGTTGCCAGGGGCTGGTGAGAGGGGGCAATGGGATGTTATTGTTTAATGGGTACAGAGTTTCAGTTTTCCAAGATGAAGAGTTCTGGAGATGGATGGTGGTGGTATTTAATGTCACTGAACTGTACACTTGAAAATGGTTAGCATGGTTTCAAAAAAGTAATCAAGACTTTCTAAACCCAAGGGGTTCCTGTCTCATATGTATGTATATAAAGGGATTGGCTTTAGAAATATACTTTTGAAAGCCTGTATAGAGATACTCTGGAAGCTGAACAGCCAAAGCAGTATGGATTATTTAAAATGTACAATTTTTTATGGGTTTTTAAGAACCAGTGGATAAAACTCATGAATAAGAACTTCACACAATTTCTTTAAGATAGTGTCCTTTTGCCGAAACCGGTTTGGCTCAGTGGATAGAGCGTCGGCCTACGGACTGAAAGGTCCCAGGTTTGATTCCGGTCAAGGGCATGTACCTGGGTTGCGGGCACATCCCCAGTAGGAGATGTGCAGGAGGCGGCTGGTCGATGTTTCTCTCTCATCGATGTTTCTAACTCTCTATCTCTCTCCCTTCCTCTCTGTAAAAAATCAATAAAATATATTTTTTTTAAAAAAAAGATAGTGTCCTTTTAAAAAGTCAGATAGTCTCTCTGCTCCTCCTGTTCATCAGACAGCCTCGACCTCCTATGCAGTACCAGCCGCAACCCAGAGACACAATGATGAAGGTCAGAGCAAATGGATTTGGCCGTATTGGGCACCTGGTCACCAGGGCTGCTTTTAACTCTGGCAAAGTGGATACTGTTGTCATCAATGACCCCTTCATTGACCTCAACTACATGGCCTACATGTTCCAGTATGATTCTACTCATCGGAAGTTCAAAGGCACAGTCAAGGCTGAGAACTGTAAGCTTGCCATCCATGTCCATCTTCTAGGAGTCAGGTCCCGCCACCATCAAAAGGGTTGATGCTGGTGCTGAATATGTTGTGGTGTCTGCTGGTATCTTCACTACCTTGGAGAAGGCTGGGGCTCACTTTAATGGTGGAGTCAAGAGAGTCATCATCTCTGTCCCTTGTGTGGGTGCTGCCATGTTTGTGAAGGGGAAGGAACCATGACAAGCATGACAACTCCCTCAAGATGGTCAGCAATGCTTCCTGCACCACCAACTGCTTGGTCCCCCTGGCCAAGGCCACCCATGACAACTTTGGAATCATGGAGGGACTCATGACCACAGTCCATGCCATCACTGCCACCCAGAAGACGATGGATGGCCCCCTCCGGGAAGCTGTGGTATGATAGCGGAGAGGCTGCCCAGAACATCATTCCTGCTTCTCCTGGTGCTGCCAAGGCTGTGGGTAAGGTCATCCCTGAGCTGAATGGGAAGCTCACTGTCATGGCCTTCTCTGGCCCCACCTCCAATGTGTCGGTTGTGGATCTGACCTGCCACCTGGAGAAAGCTGCCAAATACGATGACATCAAGAATATAGTGAAACAGAGGGGCCCCCTCAAGGGCATCCTGGTTATACTGAGGACCAGGTTGTCTCCTGGGACTTTAACAGTGACACCTACTCCTCCACCTTTGATGCTGGGGCTCTCAATGACCACTTTGTCAAGCTCATTTCCTGGTATGATACTAAATTTGGCTACAGCAACAGGGTGGCAGACTTTATGGTCCACGTGGCCTCCAAGCAGTTAGAGCCCCCTGGACCACCAGCCCCAACCAGAGGAAGAGAGGCCCCCAGCTACTGGGGACTTCTTGCCCCAAATCCATCCCCCAACACACTTAGAATCTTCTGACTTTCACAGTTTCCATCTCAGACCCCCTGCAGAAGGGGAGGGGCTTAGGGAGCCCTACTTTGTCATGCACCCTCAAAAAAGTTCACTGGCCGTAGCTGGTTTGGTTCAGTGGATAGAGTGTTGGCCTGTGGACTGAGGGGTCCCGGGTTCGATTCCGGTCAAGGGCATGTACCGTGGTGGCGGGCACATCCCCAGTGGGAGGTGTGCAGGAGGCAGCTGATCGATGTTTCTCTCTCATCGATGTTTCTAACTCTCTATCCCTCTCCCTTCCTCTCTGTAAAAAATCAATAAAATATATTTAAAAAATCAATAAAATATATTTTTTAAAAAGAAAATATTATGACCGGTTTGGCTCAGTGGATAGAGCGTCAGCCTGCGGACTGAGGGGTCCCAGGTTCAATTCTGGTCAGGGGCATGTACCTTGGTTGCAGGCACGTCCCCGGTGGGGGGTGTGCAGGAGGCGGCTGATAGAGGCTTCTCTCTCATCGATGTTTCTAGCTCTGTCCCTCTCCCTTCCTCTCTGTAAAAAAAATCAATAAAACATATTAAAAAAAAGAAAATATTTTTAAAAACTTCACTGCACCCAGCCAAAAAAGAAACAATTAAAAATAAATATTTTTTTTTACAATTACAGTAATCTTAAGCTCTTCCAATCTTGTAAAAGATGAACATTTACTATTTCACATTAATTTTAAAAAGTACCTTATTTAAACTAACATTGAAAAAGTTTGTGAACTTCAATAGGCGAGAAAGCTTGTAGTTTTCCACAATTCTTTTAGGTGGCATGCCAGCAAATGCGTCGGGCTGTCAGTACTGCCGAGGGTGTTTGCAGCTTCTCTCAGGTTAGCTTTTTGCCTTGGAGCAGGAGAACATTAGCCTCTCCAGGACCCGGGCCACCCTGTGGTGGCGGGGCGGGGCGGGGCGTGGCTCCCAGGCTGCCCTCCCGCGTGGGGTCATATTTCCTGCGCGTGTTTCCTCACCGCGCCGCTGCCTTCCCGCCAGACTTCAAGATTTAAGTTTCATTTCCACTCACTGGCCGAGACTGCAGGTTCCTCTAACCGCGGCCCTTTCGCGAAGCCGAGTCTATTTTCCAGGAGCAGAGAGCGCCAGCCATGGATCCTCGGAGCGGAAAGGCGACGCGGACAGCTTCGAAGGCGGGAGCCGCCACCTCCAAGATTTTGGCGCAGAGTGCGAAGGGCGCCCCGACGAAACCCTCGTCGACGAAGCCCAGCCAGACGAAGCCCATCGAGTGTCCGGTTGTCCCCAAAGCTGTCAGGCCCCACGAGCAGAATTGCAGCTCCACTAGAGCGTCGGGGAACCAGCGGAAGAAGAGCCCCCCGGGCTCCCGGGAGAGACCGCAGGTCCGCGCGCGGGGTGCGCGCACCGAGAAGGCCCCTCTGAGCGGTGACGCGGTGAACGGGCACACGGATCTGGCCAAGGCGCAGGAGTCTCCCGCGGCTCCGGAGCCGCCCCGTCCCAGAGCTGGATCTCGCCGAAAAGGGAGTGCATGTGCCAAGACGGCGCCTCTGAGCGCCCAGGACGCCTTGAACGGGCACACGGATCTGGCCCAGGAGCCGGAGTCGCCCCTTCCCAGAGCTGGATCTCGCCGAAAAGGGAGTGCATTTGCCAAGAAGGCGCCTCTGAGCCGTGACGCGGTGGACGGGCACACGGATCTGGCCGAGGGGCCGGAGCCTCCCGCGGCTCCGGAGTCGCCCCTTCCCAGAGCTGGATCTCGCCGAAAAGGGAGTGCATGTGCCAAGACGGCGCCCCTGAGCGCCCAGGACGCCTTGAACGGTCAGGCGGGTCTGGCCCAGGAGCCGGAGTCGCCCCTTCCCAGGGCTGGATCTCGCCGAAAAGGAGGTGCATGCACCAAGAAGGCTCCTCTGAGCGCCGAGGACATCTTGAACGGACAGGCCATTCTGGCCGAGGGGCCAGAGCCTCCCGCAGCCCCGGAGTCGCCCCTTCCTAGGGCTGGATCCGCGCGCTCCGCTGGGGAGCGGAGACCTCCGTCCAGGCCAACGGAGGACGCCGGCCAGGATCCGCTGGTTCCAGCCTCTAGTCTGGGCCGGAGGGACGCGGTGCCCGGCGTCTGGAAGCTCGGGGCGGTGCTGGATAAGTTGAAGCTACGTCGCGCAGAAATCTCAGAAGCCGCGGAGGTTGTAAACAGGGTCGTGGGCCACCTGCTACGAGGACTGAAGAGCGGCTGGTCCGAGTTTAAAGGTGTCGAGTTGCTTCCCACTGGGAGCTACTACGAGCACGTGAAGGTGAGTGCTAATCGCCTGCCCTCCCGTGCCCTAGGCGCGCGCCGGGCTTCCTCACCCCTCCTCTAACCTCCCCGATATTCCCCATCTCCTATGGTTCCTCACTTTACGTTGTAAGAAACTCAGACTAGTTCTTACGTTCTAATTAAAACGACATACCTTTGTTCTTTCGTTTATTCATCACTACATCCAAGGAACATGGAGCCAACCTATATTGATTGCCAGCCACTGTGAAGACACCATTTTGGGGGGGGAATTCAAATGTATAGATTCATTCATGTAAGCAGACCTGCACTGTGTTTCTCCAACAGTGTTATACTTGGTAATTTCTGGTCAGATTATGACTTGGATGATTAGGAGTGTGATCTGCGAAATATCCACAAAATTAATGTATCTAAGAAACTTTTTTCTATGAGGATTTTTGTACTGCAAAAGAAAAATATTTTCAGTCTCTCTCTCCAGCCCCTGCGAACCCACTCTTTCTCTCAACTTCTTATTTAGGTGTTATGGGAAGCTCCCAGTGAATGATGTTAAAAATAAATTAAGAGAAAATCTCCTACAGGTACTAAAAAGCATTCTTCCTAAATACACATCAGATGGAACTATTTTTAAGTGTATTCCACAGCTCCATTTGTCTGTGGGTGGTTGTCATTAAAGCCATCATTCCAGTATAAATGGAAGGTTTAGGAGCAGGTTTCTGACTGGAGTTTGTTTCCTGATCAGTGGCAGTGATGAAAGTGGACCACCTTGTTGTATTCTTGATCTTAAAGAAAATGCTTTTACCTTTCCCCTGTTGAGTATGATGTTAGCTGTGTGTTTGTCATATATGGGCTTTTATTAAGTTGAGGTATGTTCCCTTTATTGCCACTTTGTTGAGTTTTATCATAAATGGATGCTGTATTTTGTCAAATGCATTTCTGCATCTTTTGATATGGTCATATGGTTTTTATCCTTCATTTTGCTTATCACATGGTATATCATAATAATTGATTTGTAGATATTAAACCAACCTTGTATCCTAGGAATAAATACCACTTGATCATGGTGTATGATCTTTTTAATATATTGCTGAATTTGGTTTGCATATATATATATATATATATATATATATATATATATACACACACTAATAAAAGACAAAGATGCTAATTGACCGTACCTTCGCTATTCCCACCAGCCAATCAGAAGAGCATGTAAATTGACCCAACAAAGATGGCTGTTAAATTTGCATACTGCAGGTGGGGCGGGCAGCGCCAGACGCCACCCGGGGAGGTGGAGCTGGCAATCACCCTGGTCAGAAGCCTGAGGCCTGGGCAAGGGCGGAGCGGGCCATCAGAGTGGGCTGGGGGTCCCCTGCCTAGGCCTAATGCCCGGTCAGAGGCCTGAGGCCTGGGAAGGGGCGGAGCTGGCAATCACCCGGGGCTGGGGGTCCCCTGCCCAGGCCTAACATCCTGGCCAGAGGCCTGAGGCCTGGGCAGGGGCAGAGCGGGCCATTGGAGTGGGCTGGGGTCCCCTGCCCAGGCCCAAGGTCTGGGCCAGAGGCCTTAGGCCTGGGCAGGCAATCAGAGTGGCCTGGGGTCCCCTGCCCAGGCCTAGCCCCAGTCAGAGGCCTGAGGCCTGGGTAGGTGATCGGAGCAGGCTGGGGGTCCCCTGCCCAGGCCTAATTTCCCGGCCAGAAGCCTGAGGCCTGGGCCGGGGCATAGCCGGCGATCGCCCAGTGCTGGAGGTCCCCTGCCTAGGCCTAATGCCCGGCCAAAGCCTGAGGCCTGGGCAGGGGTGGAGCCTGCGATCAGAGCGGGCTGGAGGTCCCCTGCCCAGGCCTAACGCTCCTCTGGCCTGGGCAGGGGCGGAGCTTGCTATCTGAGCAGGCTGGGGGTCCCCTGCCCAGGCCTAACATCCAGCCTAAGGCCTTAGGCCTGGGCAGGGGCCGAGCCGGGGATCGGTATGGACTACAGAGGAAACACCTTTTCTGACCGCTCATTGGCTAAGCTCCCTGTATGCCACTGGTAATATTCTTAGTAACTTGGATAATAAGAATCCAAGAAGGTGATCTAGGGTTTTTCCACCTCACTCCTAGAGAAAAAAACGAAGGTCTGCTGCTGGAGGGGCTAAGAAATATCATATCCTGCACTAGCCAGTTTGGCTCAGTAGATAATGCCTCGGCCTGCCTACCGCAGGGTCTGGGTTCAATTCTGACCAAGGGCATGTACCTAGGTTGCAGGCTCTTCCCTGGCTGGGGCCCAGGTCAGCGCTCATGCAGGAGGCAACCAATCAAAGTGTTCCTCTCACTTTGATGTTTCTCTCTGTCTTTCCCTTTCTCTTCCACATTCTCTAAAAATCAATGGAAACATATCCTCAGGTAAGGATAAAAAAAAGAATAATAAATGTCATATTCTATGAAAGACATCTTGAAAATGCCTAAAGAAAGCTGTCATTTTTTCATGGTGAAGGGACTGGTATCAGTGTTGATGAAAACACCTTGGTGGCTGCGGTGACTGGCAGTGGCTGCAGCAGCGGGGTGATGGGGCTGGTGCCTTCCCCTAATCAGCCTGGTTGCCTACCACAAAGGGAGGCCAGACTGCGGCTTAGGCCCACTCCCCAAGGGGAGCAGGGAGCGGGCCTAAGCCGTCAGTAGGACATCCCCTGAGGGCTCCCAGTATGTGAGAGGGGGCAGGCTGGGCTGAGGGACACCTCTCCCCAGTGCACGAATTTCATGCACCGGGCCCCTAGTGTGTGTGTGTGTGTGTGTGTGTGTGTGTGTGTGTGTGTGGGTGTGTATCCTATCTAATAATAGACAAAGATTGAAATTAACCGTACCTCCGCTATGCCTTCCATTGGCTAATCAGCGAGATATGCAAATTAACTGCCAACAAAATGGTGGCTGATTTGCATACTGCAGGCAGATCCCGCTGCACCGCCCAAGGCGAGATCCTGGCCTGCCATGTCTTGGGTGGGATGGGCGGGGTGGGTGGGGCAAGCGGGGGGTCGGGGGTGGGAGCGGCAGCGTGATCCAAGCTGCTGTCTGCCCCAGCGTGGGATCGGGCCTGCCGTGTCTTGGGCGGGGTTGGTGGGGCTGGCGGGGTGAGGGGCAGTATGATCAGAGCTGCTGTCCGCCCCAGGGTGGGATCCAGGCCTGCAGTGTCTTGGGCGGGGTGGGTGGGGCTGGCGGGGCAAGCAGGAGCATGATTAGAGCTGCTGTCCGCCCCAGCGCGGGATCCGGACCTGCCGTGTCTTGGGCAGGGCAGGCAGGGCGAGCGGCAGCGTGATCCGTGAGAGGGCATAGGTTGGGCTGAGGGACCCCCCTTCCCTGCCAGTGCACAAAATTTTTGTGCACAGCCCTTCTAGTGTGTATATATATATATATATATATATATATATATATATATATAATTTTTTTATTGATTTTTATTTTTATTGATTTCAGAGAGGAAGGGAGAGGGAGAGAGATAGAAACATTGATTTCAGAGAGGAAGGTAGAGGGAGAGAGATAGAAACATCAATGATGAGAGAATCATTGATTGGCTGCCTCCTGCCTGCCTCTTACTGGTATGTGCCCTTGACCGGAATCAAACCTTTGACCCTTCAGTCCACAGGCCAACCCTCTATCCACTGAGCCAAACCGACTAAGGCTGGTTTGCTAATATTTTGTTGAGTTTTATATCTATGTTCATCAGGGATATTGGCCTATATTTGTGTGTGTGCAATGTCCTTGTCTGTTTTGGAAATGAGGGTAATGGTTACCTCATAAAATGAGCTTGGGAACCTTCCTTCCTCTTGAATTTTTTGGAATAGTTTGATAAGGATAGGTGTTAGTCCTAACCGGTTTGGCTCAGTGGATAGAGCGTTGGCCTGTGGACTCAAGGGTCCCAGGTTCGATTCTGGTCAAGGGCATGTACCTTGGTTGCGGGCACATCCCCAGTAGGGAGTGTGCAGGAGGCAGCTGATCCATGTTTCTCTCTCATTGATGTTTCTAACTCTCTATCTCTCTCCCTTACTCTCTGTAAAAAAATCAATAAAATATATATATATTTTTTAAAAAGGATAGGTGTTAATTCTTCTTTGAATGTTTGGTAACATTCACCTGTGAAGCCATAGGTACAGGACTTTTGTTTGTTGGCAGTTTTTTGAGTACTGATTTGATTTTATTGGTAGTAATTGGTCTCTGCATATTTTCAGTTTCTTGATTTAGTCTTGGAAGATTGTATGTTTCGAGGCATTTATCCATTTCTTTAAAATGATCCAATTTGTTGGCATATAGTTGTTCGTGGTATTTTCTTATACTCCTTTGTTTTTCTATGATGTCAATTTTCACTTTTCTTGTTTTATTTTATTTTATTCACATTAGTCCTCTTTTCTTTTTTTAAAAATATATGTTTTTATTGATTACAGAGAGAGGAAGGGAGAGAGAGGGATAGAAACATCAATTATGAGAGAGAATCTTGATTGGTTGCCTCCTGCATGCTCCCTACTGGGGATCGAGCCTACAACTGGGGCATGTGCCCTGACCAGGAATCCAACCTCGACCTCCTGGTTCATGGGTCATAGCTCAACCACTGAGCATACCAGCGGGCTTACTTTTTTTCTTGATGAGTTTGGTTAAAGGTTTATCCATCTTGTTTATCTTTTCAAAGAACCAGCTCTTGGTTTCAGTGATTCTTTATACTGTGTTTTAATACTCTACTTTGTTTATTGCCACTCTGACCTTTATTATTTCCTTCCTTCTATTCACTTGGGCTGTTTGTTGTTATTTTTCTAGTTTCTTTAGGTGTGTAAGGTTAGATTGTTTATTTGAGATTTTTTATTGTTTTTTTTTTCTTGCGGTAGGCCTATATTGCTATGAATTTCCCTCTTAGGACTGAACTTGCTATGTCCCATAGATTTTGGGTCATTGGGGTCATTATGTTTTCATTTGTCTCAAGGTATCTTTTGGTTTCTTCCTTGATCTCATTGTTAACCATTCATTGTTTAGTAGCATGTTATTTAACTTCCATGTGTTTGTGTGTTTTTTCAGTTTTTTCTTATAATTGTTGTCTAGTTTCATACCATTGTGGTTGAAGAAGATGCTTAATAGCATCTTTTTCAATCTTTAAAAATTTATTCTTGCTGTTGTATGGCCTAATATGTGGGATATACTAGAAAACGTTCCAAATGCACTTGAAAAAAATGTATATTCTGCTGCTTTGGGGTGAAATGCTCAGAAGATATCAATTAAATCCATCTGGTCTAATGTGTCATGTAAGGCTGCTGTTTCCTTGTTGATTTTCTGTCTGGAAGATTTATAGTTATAGTCCCCAGTGTCCTCACTGTGTTCTTTGGTATATGTACACAGAGAGAATGCAATCTTTCTCTCTTCCTCTTTTTACAGTCACCAATCCTGTCAGATTAGAACCACACCCTCATGATCCCATTTAACCTTAATTACCTCCTAAAAGTCCTTTTTCTAAGTACAGACACATTGGGGATTAGGGCTTCAATATCTGAATTTGGGGAGGACAGTTAAGTACACAGTACAATACATCTAAGTTTGGACTAGACACATTTCATGTGGTCAGTAGACATATGGCTGCAAAGTACCGTGTTGAACAGTGCAGTCCAATAGCTGCACCTGCAGCTTATCCTAACTAGGTAAAAGCATTTTTAATATAGTAAAAACAAGCATTTATTATAATTGCTTTAGTTATTATGAGAATGGAAAAGGTTCTTTGAAGCTTCTACAAATGCTTCTAAGACACTATTATTGTACATAACTTGGAGCTCACACTCATTTGGGTGACCAGTAGATATGAGATAACCCTTGTGCAACTAGCCAGTAGGTGAATACACACATTTTTGAGAGCATACAATGATCTCAAAATTGTAACAGTAGGGTGGCTGCAATGTGTATCTTGTGATGTGAAAGGTAGCTCCTTCCAGGTCTTTAATTTTATGAAGCTTTAAACTTAGAGTAAACCTGGTACAGATTTTAAAAGCTTACATGATATATTTTTGCTGTTGTTAATGCTCACTCACCCGTGGATATTTTTCCATTGAATTTTAGGGAGAGTAGAAGAGAGAGGGGAAAGACAGAGAGACATATCAATGTGAGAGAAACACATCAATAGGTTGCCTCCTGTATGAACCCTGACCAGGGCCCAGCAGGGGAGGAGCCTGCAACCGAGTGAGGTATGTGCCCTTGACAGAAATCGAACCCAGGACACTTTGGTCCGAAGGCTGACATTCTACCCACTGAGTCAAACTGGCCAGGGCACATAATATGATTTAAAATTATTTTAAGCCTGATCAGCATGGCTCAGTGGTTGAGCAATGACCTATAAACCAGGAGGTCTCAGTTGGATTCCCAGTCAGGGCAAATGCCCAAGTTGTGGGCTGTGCGAAGGAGGCAGTTGATCAATGATTCTCTCTCATCACTGATGTTTCTCTCTCTCTCTCTCTCTCTCTCTCTCTCTCTCTCTCTCTCTCTTTCAATAAAAATATATTTAAAAATAAAATAAAATTGATTTAATAATCCTGGCCAGTGTGGCTCGGTTGGGTGTGGATCCTGTGCACCAAAAGGTTGCCAGTTCCATATCCCATCCTGACATACTAGTATGTTCAAATTGTGGGCTTGAACCCAGGTACGGGGTGTGCCGGATGCATCCGGTCATGTTTCATTCTCACATGAACATTTCTCTCTCCCCCTCCCAAAAAAATATCAATAAAAAATATTTTTAAATTAATAAAAGTGTTTTTTAAAAAATATATTTTATTGCTTTTTTACAGAGAAGAAGGGAGAGGGATAGAGAGTTAGAAACATCGATGAGAGAGAAACATCAATCAGCTGCCTCCTGCACATCCCCTACTGGGGATGTGCCTGCAACCAAGGTATATGCCCTTGGCCGGAATCGAACCTGGGACCCTTCAGTCCGCAGGCCGACGCTCTATCCACTGAGCCAAACCGGTTAGGCAAAAGTGTTTTAAGTATAGAAATCCCATATATATATATTTTGGTTAAAAAAATGAGTATAGGGGAGAATCGAAGATGGCGGCATAGGTAAACACCGGAGACTGCTGCCCAAACAACCACTTAAAAAATACAACTAAAAGACGGAACGGACATCAACCAGAACCACAGGAAGGCTGGCTGAGGAGAGACTCTTCAACTAGAAGCAAAGACAACAGCAATACGAGGCTCAGAGGAGGCGCAGTGTGGAAAATATAAAGGTACCGAGGTGTGTGCGCAAAGCGGGGTGGTGGCTGAGGGTGCGGTTGTCGTTTTCAGTCGGGAGTGAGTCTCAGACTCTGAGCTCCAGATCCGGGCGAGTCTCTAGGGACCCAGACTCAAACGGGAGAAGCGGGACTGTCTGGCTACGGTCCCTCCGAGGTTTGCAGCGGTTGCTGGGACAGAGAGGCAGAGCCCCTGGGGGCAGACTGAGAGCAGCCATAACTGCTCCCTCTGCCCGCCCTGTTGAGCCCGCCCCGCCCAAGCCCTGCGCAGAGCCATTTGCCGGATCGCCTCAGGCAAAGGCTAGATTAGCACCTCCCCAGAGGACAGAAGTCTTCCACACAGCTGATTCTCACAGCCAGTCGGCCTGGTGGTCAAATCCCTCTAGTATTAACTACAACAATTAAGGCTTAACTAGAACAAGACTGCGCACAAACACCACAAGGGGGTGCACCAAGAAAGCATAAAAGATGCGGAGACAAAAAAAACATGACAGAAATGGAGGATATAGAGCTAAAAAACGCAATTTTGAGGGCTTGCAATAATGTGCTAGAAGCTGCCAATAAACTTGATGAGAGCCTCACGAAATCTAATGAGACCCTCGATGCTGTGATAAAGAACCAACTAGAAATTAAGCATACACTGACTGAAATAAAGAATATTATACAGACACCCAATAGCAGACCAGAGGAGCACAAGAATCAAGTCAAAGATTTGAAATGCGAAGAAGCAAAAAACACCCAACCGGAAAAGCAAAATGAAAAAAGAATCCGAAAATACGAAGATAGTGTAAGGAGTCTTTGGGACAGCTTCAAGCGTACAAACATCAGAATAATAGGGGTGCCAGAAGATGAGAGACAGCAAGATATTGAAAACCTATTTGAAGAAATAATGGCAGAAAACTTCCCCCACCTGGTGAAAGAAATGGATTTACAGGTCCAAGAAGCGCAGAGAACCCCAAACAAAAGGAATCCAAAGAGGACCACACCAAGACACATCATCATTAAAATGCCAAGAGCGAAAGACAAAGAGAGAATCTTAAAAGCAGCAAGAGAAAGAGACTCAATTACCTACATGGGAATACCCATACGACTGTCAGCTGATTTCTCAACAGAAACTTTGCAGGCCAGAAGGGAATGGCAAGAAATATTCAAAGTGCTGAATACCAAGAACCTACAACCAAGATTACTTTATCCAGCAAAGCTATCATTCAGAATTGAAGGTCAGATAAAGAGCTTCACAGATAAGGAAAAGCTAAAGGAGTTCATCACCACTAAACCAGTATTATACGAAATGCTGAAAGGTATCCTTTAAGAAGAGGAAGAAGAAAAAGGTAAAGATACAAATTGTGAACAACAAACATGCATCTATCAACAAGTGAATCTAAGAATCAAGTGAATAAATAATCTGATGTACAGAATGAACTGGTGATTATAATGAATCAGGGACATAGAAAGGGAATGGACTGACTATTCTCGGGGGGGTGGGGGGAAGGGAATGGGAGATGCGGGAAGAGACTGGACAAAAATCGTGCACCTATGGATGAGGACAGTGGGTGGGGAGTGAGGGCGGAGGGTGGGGCGGGAACTGGAAGGAGGGGAGTTAGGGGGGGGAAGAGGAACAAATGTAATCTGAACAATAAAGATTTAATTAAAAAAAAAAGAAAAAAAATGAGTATAGAAACCATAAACTAAAACCAATAATACTTTCCCAACTCCACTGGTCCTAATCCCAGAGGGTATAAATACTAGGAGTCTTGTTTTTATTTTTTATTTTTATTTTTTTTTAAGTTTTTTAAAAAATATATTTTATTGATTTTTCACAGAGATGAAGGGAGAGAGATAGAGAGAGTTAGAAACATCGATGAGAGAGAAACATCGATCAGCTGCCTCTTGCACATCCCCCACCGGGGATGTGCCCGCAACCCAGGTACGTGCCCTTGACCAGAATCGAACCTGGGACCTCTCAGTCCACAGGCTGACGCTCTATCCACTGAGCCAAACCGGTTTCGGCAAGTCTTGTTTTTAAAGATAGGGTTTTAGGTGGAACTTTTAAGAAAAAAATTGCAGTTGCTTGGAAAATATTCCTAAGCAAACATTTCACTGTTGTTTTTACTTTTTCTTAGGTTTCTGCTCCTAATGAATTTGACGTTATGTTTAAACTGGACGTCCCCAGAATTCAGCTAGAAGAATATTGTGACAGTGGTGCTCATTACTTTGTGAAGTTCAAAAGAAACCCCCAAGGAAATCCTCTGAATCAGTTTTTAGTAGGGGAAAGATTATCAGCTTCTAAGATGCTGTCCAAGTTTAGGGATCTCATTAAGAAAGAAATTAAAAACATTCAAGGTAAGATTTTTGAGTTTTAATCCTTAAAGTTCTAATCATACCTACTAATTGCCCATGTATATTCCTCTCCTGATCTTTCTTGACCTCCTACAGCACACTGTTGACCACTACCTCCCAGAAACAACTCTTTGCACTTGATGTTATTCTACTACATTTTCTTGGTATTCTTTTTTTAAAAATATATTTTATTGATTTTTTACAGGGAGGAAGGGAGAGAGATAGAGAGTTAGAAACATCGATGAGAGAGAAACATCGATCAGCTGCCTCCTGCACATCTCCTATTGGGGATGTGCCCGCAACCCAGGTACATGCCCTCGACCGGAATCAAACCTGGGACCTTTCAGTCCACAGGCCGACGCTCTATCCACTGAGCCAAACCGGTTTCGGCATTTGGTATTCTTTTTAACTGTTGATTGGCTCTATTTCGGTTTCCATTGAATATTCACTGAACTGCTGCCTGTGCCACTGGGCATGTGTGGTTGAATAAAATAATGGAATCCCCTCTTGAAGCTTGGATCTTGGAAACAAATTGTAGTGAATGCTCTGACGGGAATGAACTGGGAGAAGGGGTAGCAATTGAAGTGGTGGAGCAAGGCTCTGAGGCAGAAAAGAGCTTGGCAAGCCCAAGGAACTACAAGAGGCCCATGTGAACAATGAAAGGAAAGAGGAACAGGAAGTGTAGTTTAAGAGGTGACCACAGACCAGATTCTTCAAGGACTTGGAAAGGTTCAGATTTTATTTTATGTTCATTGAGAAGCCAGGTTTTAATTACAAAGTAGTGATTCCCTTTGTATGTTTAAAAAATATGTTATTGATTTTTTGAGAGCGAGGAAGGGAGAAGGATAGAGAGATAGAAACATCCATGGGAGAGAAACATCATCCATTGGCTACCTCCTGCACATGTCCTGATTGTGCCTCAAATCCGTGACCCCTTGGTTCCTGGGTCGATCTCAGCTGCTAAGCCACACTGGCTGGGATAGCTTTATATTTTTAAATGTTTACTCTGGCTTCTTTGGAGAAGATATTATAAGAAAGCAAGTAAGAAGATTAGAAAGGAAAATATTTTAATAGTTCAAATGAAAAGATGGTGGTGAAGTGGGAGAGAAGCAGACACACCCAAGCTGTAGCAGTGCTTGCTTCTGGAGTACAGTATGTATAGGGGTGAGAGAGAGGATGGAATTGAAGAAGGCTCCCAGGTTTCTGGATTGAGCACCTGTGTAAATTGTGCCATTTACTAAGATTGGAAGGACAGAAGAGGAACACTTTGGGGAATGAATGAAGAGTTTGGCTTTGGATATCTTAAGTTAGATATCCCTGTGATGTGTTAAACTGAATGTGCCAAGTACATAGTTGGATATGGGTTTGGAGTTCGGGGGACACATTTGGCTACATGTCAACATATAGCCAACCCTTTGACAGAGAGTGCAGAGGAACTTATTCATTAATTTAATCAATATTCATTGAGTATCTAATGTGACAGATGGTCTAGATGTTTGGGATACGTTCATGAACAAATAGATGAAGACCCTCACCCTTCTGTACCTTATAATTATGTAAGAGCAGATATGCAATTAATGACAAATAGAAAATATAATTATATTGTATACTAGAAAGTAGTAAGTTCTATGGGGAAAAGGCTAGCAAAGTGAGAGGGATCTGGAGTGTTAGGAATAGGATGGGGGAAATTACAATGTTAAGTAGAGTGGTAAGACGAGGATCCCATTAGAAGTTGGGGAGAAGAGAAGGAATGAAAGGAGACTATGAGTGGTTTCACAGGAGCAGTGGTCAGTGTTTACAATGCTGCTGACATCCAAAAACCATTTGATTTGGTCCGTGGTTTTGTGGGGATTGTTGTTAACTTTGACTTAGCAGTTTCAGAGAGATTATGAACACACAAGAAAAAAGGGGCAGGGATGCAGTAGAGACAGCATGTGTAGGCCATTCTGGAAAATTTTGGCTGCAAAGGAAGAAGAAATATGGGTAAGTATGGGGAGGAAGCTGATTTAGGGCCAAAAGAGAGGTATATTTTAGAATGAAGGACACTGGAACCCTTTGTATGTGGAGAGGAATGATCCAGCAGGGAGGGGGAGTCCAGTGATGCAAGAGAGGGAACAATTGAAAGAGCGAGGTCTTGAGCAAGTGAGGATCCAGAGGCAGGTCCAGGGGTGGCCTTGGAAAGGTGAATGGACATTTCCTCGGTGGTAATAAGAGGAAGAAGGATAAAATGGGTAAGATTGGGGGAGGTTTGCAGATTTGATAAGAAAATGAGAGTGTTCTCTAGGATTTTCTCCTTGGCATTCTTTCTCACTGTGGTCCCTTCCAGAAGTCTTATCTGGGAGTAGTCTTTACTGCTTATACACCCCTAAACCCCAAAGCCAGTATCTCTCATCTGGAAGTGTTTCCCGAATTTCTGACCACCATAGCTACTTGCCCAGTGGCTATCTCCACTTGGGTGTCCCATAGGCACATAGAGCTCAGTGTGTCTAAAATGAAGTTCATTTCAGCTCAACCCTTCTTCCTCCTGCTTACTCTATATCAGCGGTCGCCAACCTTTCGGACCCCACGGACCACCAGTGGTCCTCGGACCACCGGTTGGTGACTGCTGCTCTCTATAGAAGAATGGAATCAACATTAATCAATTCCTAGGCTAAGTTTCTGGATGGCATCCCAGAACTTGTACCTTCTTCCTTATCTTGCTGGTTCAGTCCATCTACCAGTTCTCTGGTTTTTAACCTCTTTAATTGCTCTCACTTCTGCTGCCTGTGTCTTTGAAAAAATGAAAATTGTATATATTTAAGATGCTTTGATACACATATACATAGTAAAATGACTTCCACAGTCAAGATAATTAACATATCTCACATAGTTACCCTTTTTTGTGTGTATGGTTAGAGTACCTGAAATCTACTCTCTTAGCATAATACTTAATATTGTACTGTTTCTAGTCGTCAGTGTGGTAGTATTAATGACAGTCATCATGCTGTACACTAGATGTCTAGACTCACTCTACCTAACTGCAACTTTGTTCCCTGTGACCAATATCTCCCATTTCCCTCACCTCCTCACCTCCTCACCTCTGGTAACCACCATTCTACTCTCTTCTTCTGTTGTCTTCTGCTTTTTTAGATTTCACATAGAAGTGAGGTCATGCAGCATTTGCTTTCCTGTATCTGGTTTATTTTCTCCAGGTTCACGCATGTTGTCACAAATGACAGGATTTCTTTCTTTGTAAAGATTGAATAATATTCCATTCATATACAGGCATACCTCATCTTATCGCGCTTCAGTTCGTTTCACTTCACAGATAATGCGTTTTTTACGAATTGATGGTATGTGGCAGCCCTGTGTTGAGTGAGTCTGTTGGTGCTATTTTTCCGACATGCTCAGATGATGCTTTAGCATTTTTTAGCAATAAAATACTTTTAATTAAGGTATTTACATTGTTTTTTAGACATAATGCAAGAGCACATTTAATAGACTACAACATAATGTAAACATAATTTTTATATGCACTGGGAAACCATACAATTTGTGTGACCTGTTTTATTGCAATATTCACTTTATTATTGCAGTGGTCTGGGACTGAAGCCACAATATCTCCAACGTGTGCCTGTACATACCACAATTTCTTTTTAAGTATATTTTTATTGATTTCAGAGAGGAAGGAAGAGGGAGAGAGAGAGATAGAACATCAATGATGAGAGAGAATCATCGCCGAAACCGGTTTGGCTCATTGGATAGAGCGCCGGCCTGCGGACTCAAAGGTCCCAGGTTCGATTCCGGTCAAGGGCATGTACCTGGGTTGCGGGCACATCCCTAGTAGGAGATGTGCAGGAGGCGGCTGATCGATGTTTCTCTCTCATCGATGTTTCTAACTCTCTATCTCTCTCCCTTCCTCTCTGTAAAAAATCAATAAAATATATTTTAAAAAAATGGAGAGAGAATCTTTGATCGGCTGCCTCCTTCACACTCCACACTGGGGATCGGGCCCACAACTCGGGCATGTGCCCTTGACCGGAATTGAACCCAGAACCCTCAGTCCACAGGCTGACACTCTATCCACTAAACCAAGCCAGCTAGGGCCATACCACAATTTTTTTTTTTATCCACTCATCTGTCAATGGACTCTGAGATTGTTTCCATATATTGGCTATCGTGAGTAACACTGCAGTGAACATGGGTTGCTTCTGCCGCTCATCTGCCCTCTTTTCCAGGCTTCTCTCCAAATTGCTATTCATCAATTTAAATGAAAGTCTAACCAAAGCACTCCCAAACCCCAATTTTTAGGGGCTCCTCATCATCATGCTAGACAGATTTTGACAGTACTGTCCCGCCATAATACATTATCAATGAATATTGGCTAAACGAGTAAAACATTTTGTGTTGTGGGGTCAGTTTCTGCTTTAGAACTAATTTTCACCTTAATACTCTCTAGATATCCAACTATAGTTATGCTATTTTCCCTATATTTTCAAGAAAATTAGATTGCTAAACCCTTTTTTTCCCTTTTACATGTTTAAACAGATACAGATATCATTGTGGAGAAGAAAAAGAGAGGATGTCCTGCTGTAACACTTCTTATTAAAACACCTAAAGAAATATCTGTGGATATAATCTTGGCTTTGAAAGTACAAAGCAGCTGGCCACTGAGCACCCAGAATGGCATGCCCATTGAAAATTGGCTTGGAAGAAAAGTAAAGAAAAACCTAAGACTACAGCCATTTTACCTGGTACCTAAGCCTGCAAGGGAAGGAAATGGTTTTCAAGGTATCTTAAATGTGAAGGTTAATTTAAGAACATATAAGAGAGTTGTTAATGTTATATACAAGGGTAGTAAAAGTTCGACGACTGCTGTTGGCATTTCAAGAGTCATCAGGCTCAATAGGCTACCAGTACAAGATGGGAGTTTGATGAGTGATGGAATTGAAAACGGCATAGTTGTAGTAGTAACATCAAATACTCAGCTTTAAAATGTCTAGTAGCCCACATTTGAATGCTACCTTTTTTATTTAAAAAACTAGAGGCCTAGCCCTAGCCAGTTTGGCTCAGTGGATAGAGCGCTGGTCTGTGGACTGAAGGGTCCCAGGTTCGATTCTGGTCAAGGGCATGTACCTTGGTTGTGGGCACATCCCCAGTGGGGGATGTGCAGGAGGCAGCTGATTGATGTTTCTCTCTCATCAATGTTTCTAACTCTCTATCCCTCTCCCTACCTCTCCGTAAAAAATCAATAAAATATATATATATTTTTTAAATTAAAAAAAAAACAACTAGAGGCCTGGTGCATGAAATCATGCATGGGTAGGGTTCCTAGGCCTGGTCGGTGATCAAGGCCCCGGTGATCAGGGCCTTCCTTTCCCCAGTTGCGGGCTGCTGGCCATGGCCTTCTTTTGTTCTGTGCCGCCCCCTGATGGTCAGCAAACATCATGTCATAGTGGGCAGTCGAACTCCCGGTCGGTCAAACTCCCGAGGGGACAATTTGCATGCTTAGACTTTTATTATATAGGATATTTTTATTGATTTTAGAGAGTAAGGGAGAGGGAGAGAGATATAGAAACATCAGTGATGAGAGAGAATCATTGATTGGCTGCCTCCTGCACAACCCCTTCTGGGGATCAAGCCTGCAACCCGGGCATGTGCCCTGACCAGGGAAAGAACTGTGACCTCCTGGTTCATAGGTCGATGCTCAACCACTGAGCCACACTTGCCAGGTTTGCTGTTAATAAAGAAAGGCAGTACTGGCCTCAGAGTCAGACTGCTCTCTGGTTCTGGATCCTAAGGCTTCTACTCTTAACTGAGATTTTGGACTAGTTACCAAGCCTCTCTAAATAATACTTTATTCACATTTCCTTAATTTTTACCCATGTCCTTTTCCTGTTTCAGGATCTCATCTAGGACACCACATTACATTTAGTCATCATGTCTCCTTAGGCTCCTCTTTTTTGTTGTTGTTAATCCTCAGCCAAGAATATTTTTTCCATTGATTTTTAGAAAGAGTGAAGGGAGGGAGGGGGAGAGAGAGAGAGATCAATGTGAGAGAGATACATCAATTGATTGTCTCCCGCATGCACCCTAACTGGGGCCAGGGATCGAACCTTTAACCCAGGTACGTGTCCTTGACCAGGAACTGAACCTGTGACCCTTCGGTACACAGGCCAACACTCTGACAACTGAGCCACACCAGCCAGGACTCCTTAACAGTTTCTCAGTCTTCCCTTGTTTTTGATGACCTTGACAGTTTTGAGGAATACTAGTTAATTATTTTGTAGAATGTCCCTCATCTGGCATGTACCTGATGTTTTTCTTTTTCTTTTTTTTTTTAAAAAATAAGTGGCCTTAATTTTTTACCTTTTTATTTATTTATTTAAATTTTATTGATTTTTTTTTTTACAGAGAGGAAGGGAGAGGGATAGTTAGAAACATCAATCAGCTGCCTCCTGCACACCTCCTACTGGGGATGTGCCCGCAACCAAGGTACATGCCCTTGACCAGAATCGAACCTGGGACCCTTGAGTCCGCAGGCCGACGCTCCATCCACTGAGCCAAACCGGTTAGGGCTGATGTTTATTTTATGACTAGACTGGAGTTCTGAGTTTTGGACAGGGAGACCAGAGAGCTAAAGTGCCATTTTCGTTGCATCATTTTAAGGATACATGCCATGAACATGACCTAGCACTGCTGATGTTGACCTTGATCACCTGGCTGAGGTAGTACTTGTCAATTTCTCCACTGTTACTCATTTCCCCCTTTTCATACTGGACTATTTGGAAGGAGGTCACTGTGCACAGCTCACATTTAAGGAGTGGGGAGTTATGCCACCTCTTTAAGAGCAGTGTATTTTTTTAAATTTTTTTATTGATTTCAGAGAGGAAGGGAGAGGGGACAGAAACATTAATAATGAGTCAGAATCATTGATCGGCTGTCTCCTGCACGCCCCTCACTGGGAATAGAGCTTGCAATCTGGGCATGTGCCCTGACTGGGAATCAAACAATGACCTTCTGGTTCATAGGTGGAAGCTCAACCACTGAGCCACACCAGCTGGGCAAGAGCAGAGTATTTGTACTCAGATTTTTTGGAATTATTCTGCATGGGAGATTTGGGCTGTAATCCAATAACACTTTATTAATCTTATTGCTTCATTTGTTCCAGCTTTGGCTTTAGGAGCTCTTTGAGTTGGTTCTGTGTCCTTTGGACATCTCCCATAATTGTGGGGATTTTGTTTGTCTTCATCACTAACTCACTTTCTGGCTCTACAAGGTGTTCTAGGCTCATCTGGTATATTTCATGCATCAGTCCTAGAATCCACCATTTCTCAAAGGAGCTTTGGTTTCTTTTATTGGAAAATGTACTAGAAACCACAATCTAGGTGCTATGTGTATGTGTGCTCTTTTATGAGGGTGTCAACCCTCCCAGCTGGAGAAACAAGGGAATATAGGTAAGTACGTGTACTAACCCTGGTATATACACATATCTATAAACTAGAGGCCCGGTGCACGAATTCATGCTTGGGTGGGGTCAGGCCAGCCTGCCCCACCCCCTGGTCAAACTCCCAGTCGAACTCCTGGTGGTCAATGGGACAATTTACATATTTGCCTTTTATTACATAAGATATTTTTATATGTAACTACCTGTTGTATATGTTAAGTTATTCATGAGTTTATACTGTCTCTAATTATAATCCATTATCACCTGGATCATTCTTTCTTTCCTTGCTATCTGTAGCCTCTCATTCCAACAGTGAAAAACCTGACTCTCATATCTGCCACCGATATCCTTGATTGTATAGTTCTAGTGTGCACATACTAATATCATTATTTCACAACTGCAAAGCCACTCCTCTATGGGAAACAGTTACCAACTAGAGTACAGAGCTAATGGACAGTTTCTTTTGCCTTCAGTCTTACATACCCCATTTCCAAAGTACACTGAGTGGCCAAATTATTATGACCGGCCAGATTATTATGACCACCCCATCAGTACTTCATTGACACTTCCAAAAATACTGAATATTGAAAACTTCCTAAGCAAATACTCTCAAGGTTTTATTATTATTATTTGCATAACTAATTCACTTCTTTGTACTGGTGGGGTGGTCATAATAATCTGGCCACTCAGTGTAATTTAGGTCCACACCTTTTGCTCCCCCCCCTTTCAGAAAGGTTGTTTTACACATTTGTAATGCAGTTGGAGTCCTTTTTCACAGTCTGCATTATTTCTAGGATCCCTTGACCTCCTAAATGATTTTTTAACAGTTTACATATATTAAGACTCACTCTTTGTGCTATAAAATTCTACTGGTTTTGACAAATGCATTGTATCATGTTTCTACCCTTAATAATAGTTTCACTGCTCTAAAATGTCCCTTCTTCACTTATTCAGCCCTTCCCATTCCAAACTTCTGGCAACCACTAATCTCTATAGTTTACCATCTCTATTGTTTTGCCTTTTCCAGAATGGCATAAATGGCTGTCATAAGTGGATTTATATAGCAATGAGCATACCTAGCTCAGTACCACCTTTTCCACATATCCACTGTCCATATATTATACACCTATTACTACACTCTTTATTCTGTTCCACCAAAATCTTTGTCTACCCTTGCACTGTACTATATTGTCATACATAATGTGTCTTTATAAGTCTTGATATTTGGTAGGGTAAGTTCTCCCACTTTGTCCTTCTTCATGAGTGTTTTAGATATTCTTGACCCCTTGTATTTTCATGAAAATTTTCATATCATCTTGTCAAGTTCTACCAAAGCATTTTTTTGAATATTGATTGAGAGTACATTGAATCCATAGATAAAATTTGGAAGACTTGATATATTTATAATGAGTTTTCCAATTCATGGATAAGTGCATATCTCCATTTATTTAGATTTCCTCTAATACTTCTTAGTAAGATTGTAGAGTTTTCTCCACAGAAGTTTTATATATCTTTTGTTAGATTTACTCATAGGCAATTGTAAGTTTTTAGTCTGAAAATTTTAAAACCAATAGGAAAGTAGAATTTACTAAACTCATACATATCTGTCACCTAGCTTCTTTTCTATTTTCTTCCTACATAGTTGTATTATCTATCAGTAATGATAGCTTTGTTCCTCTCTTTCCAGTGCCAGACCCCTTATATGCTTGCTAGGATAGCCAGTGCATGTTGAACAGAAATAGGGATAGCAGACATTTGCCTAACTAATTTCAAGGGAAAAACCTAAGCTTTTTACCTTATATTATCATGTTGCTGTGTCCTTTTTATTTTTTATTTTTTTAATTAAATCTTTATTGTTCAGATTATTACATTTGTTCCTCTTTTTTCCCCCCATAACTCCCCTCCTTCCAGCTCCCACCCCACCCTCCGCCCTCACTCCCCACCCACTGTCCTCATCCATAGGTGCACGATTTTTGTCCAGTCTCTTCCCGCATCTCCCACACCCCTTCCCCCCTCCAAGAATAGTCAGTCCATTCTTTTTCTATGTCCCTGATTCTATTATAATCAACAGTTCATTCTGTTCCTCAGATTATTTATTCACTTGATTCTTAGATTCACTTGTTGATAGATGTGTATTTGTTGTTCATAATTTGTATCTTTACCTTTTTCTTCTTCTTCCTCTTCTTAAAGGATACCTTTCAGCATTTCATATAATACTGGTTTGGGGGGGATGAACTCCTTTAGCTTTTCCTTATCTGTGAAGCTCTTTATCTGACCTTCAAATCTGATGATAGCTTTGCTGAATAAAGTAATCTGGTGTTAGTTCCTTGGCATCATCCACTTTGAATATTCCTTGCCACTCCCTTCTGGCCTGCAAGTTTCTGTTGAGAAATCAGCTGACAGTCGTATGGGTACTCCTTATAGGTAACTGGGTTTCTTTCTCTTGCTGCTTTTCAGATTCTCTCTTTGTCTTTTGCTCTTGGCATTTTAAATTATGATGTGTCTTGGTGTGGTCCTCTTTGGATTCCTTTTGTTTGAGGTTCTCTGTGCTTCCTGGACCTGTAAGTCTATTTCTTTGACCAGGTGGGGGAAGTTTTCTGTCATTATTTCTTCAAATAGGTTTTCAGTATCTTGCTCTCTCTCATCTTCTGGCACCCCTATAATTCGGATGTTGTTGCGTTTGAAGCTGTCCCAGAGGCTCCTTACACTATCTTCGTATTTTCGGGTTCTTTTTTCATTTTGCTTTTCCGGTTGGGTGTTTTTTGCTTCTTCGAATTTCAAATCTTTGACTTGATTCTTGCACTCCTCTGGTCTGCTGTTGGGTATAATATTCTTTATTTCAGTCCGTGTATGCTTAATTTCTAGTTGGTTCTTTATCACAGCATCGAGGGTCTCATTAGATTTCTTGTAGATCTCAATAAGTTTATCGGCGGCTTCTAGACAATTCTTGAGAGACCTTAAAAGTGTGGTTCTGAACTCAGTATCCTCCCTTGATAGTTTTGTCCTGTTTCTTTGTCTCTGCATTTTTTACGCTTTCTTGGTGCACCCCCTAGTGGTCTTTGTGCGCAGTCTTGTTGTAGTTAAGCCTTGATTGTTGTAGTTAATACTAGAGGGATTTGACCTCCAGGCCAATTGGCTGTGAGAATCAGCTGTGTCTGCAGTGGGAAAACTTCTGTCCTCTGGAGAGGTGCTAATCTAGCCTTTGCCTGAGGCTATCCGGCAAATGGCTCTGCGAAGGGCTTGGGCGGGGCGGGTCGCAGGGGATCAACAGGGCGGGTGGAGGGAGCAGTTATGGCTGCTCTCAGTCCCGTTCCCAGAGGCTCTGCTTCTCAGAACCCCAGCAACCGCTGCAAACCTCGGAGAGAAAGCTGCCCTCACGTTCCAACCGATGCCAGACAATCCCGCTTCTCCCGTTTGAGTCTGAGTCCCTAGAGACTCGCCCGGATCTGGAGCTCAGAGTCTGAGACTCCCTCCCGATTGAAAACGACAACCGTGCCCTCAGCCACCAGCCCGATCCACGCACCTCCGTACCTTTGTATTTTCCACACTGCGCCTCCTCTGAGCCTCGGTATGCTGTTCTCTTTCCTTCTAGTTGAAGAATCTCTCCTCAGCCAGCCTTCCTCTGGTTCTGGGTGATGTCCGTTCCGTCTATTAGTTGTATTTTTGAAGTGGTTGTTCGAGGCAGCAAACTCCGGTGTTTACCTATGCCGCCATCTTGGTTTCCTCTCCTCTCTGTGTCTTCACATGGCAGAAGCCCTTTTTAAAATCTGTCTTTCATCAGATCAAGTTGACAGCCAAATTTAAATTGCTGAAGCTTTTTAAAAAAATGATGAATCAGCCATGGCCGGTTTGGCTCAGTGGATAGAGTATTGACCTGCAGATTGAAGCGTCGCAGGTTTGATTCTGGTCAAGGGCACATGCCTGGGTTTGCAGACTCGATCCCCTTGGCCTGGAGGAGGCAGCCAATCAATGATTCTCTCTCATCATTGATATTTCTCTCTCCCTCTCCCTTCCTCTCTGAAATCAATAAAAACATTTTTTCAAAAACTGATGAATGAATGTTAAATTTCATTACCCACATATTCTGGGTTTTTTGAGATCATGTTTCTCCTCAATTCTGTTAATGTGACAGATTATATTGATTGATTTTTAAATTATAAATCAATGATGCATTCCTGGTATAAAACCAACTATATAATAGGATAGCCAAAACTTAAAAGAGCTAGCCGTGCTAAAACTTGCGGGAAGGGGAGAAATCTATTCTTAATTAAACTCTCACAGGGAATAGAAATGTTCCCTAATTCATTTTACATGAATACCAAACTTGTAAGAATGGTATGCAATTTTTTTAATCAATTAATTCACATTGTTATTGAAACAATATATTAACAAACTGAATTTAGCAATATGTACAGCTTACATGGCTAACTATAGTAAGCAACCTGCTCCATCCCTCCGCTCCAATGTTTTCCTATTTTGGTCCATTGTTTGCTTCAAATGACTTCTTTTAATATGTAATTACATCATATGTTCATTTCTTTGGGTCTATATCTCCCTAGAAATTTTTCAGAATGATAGTTTAATGAAGGAAATCGTTTCAATATTGTATTGTTTATATGTAGGCACTTTGGGTAAATTACTTCTTTATTTTTCTTTTGGAAATTAAGAAGAAACATGGCGGCTATCCTTCTCTCACATTGAAAAGGACATTTTGAAAAATCATGGAAAAGAAAAAACATGCTGTGAAAGTAATGGAGTGAAATGTTACAGGTAACTTTCTTATTTCTATGGTGGAATGTTTATTTTTTTAATGGACTCCATAGATCAGACCTAACGATGGTCATTACTGGGTTGAGTCCTAGGGGCAGCACATGGCTGGGCTGACCTGGAATATTATCTAGAGAGTGAGCATGAAACTAGGGAAGCCAGATCCAAGGGACCAAGGGAAGAGTGTTGTCAGAAGGCAAGGCCAGGGACCATAGTCCTGAACTTGGATCAGATGGATGTATAAAGTAGGACAGAACAAGAAGTAGGACAGAGCCGAACCGGTTTGGCTCAGTGGATAGAGCGTTGGCCTGGGGACTGAAGGGTCCCAGGTTCGATTCCGGTCAAGGGCATGTACCTTGGTTGCGGGCACATCCCCAGTAGGGGACGTGCAGGAGGCAGCTGATCGATCTCTCTCATTGATGTTTCTAACTCTCTATTCCTCTCCCTTCTTCTCTATAAAAAAATCAATAAAATATTAAAAAAAAAAAAGAAGTAGGACAGAAAGGACATTAGCCATGATTAGCCATTAGCCACTGGTTGTGTCTTAGTATTCTGGTTGCTTCAAGGTAATGAATATTATTGTCACATAATGGGAAGGTGCCAGAGGATCAATCTTTTTTTTTTTTTAATGTATTTTATTGATTTTTTACAGAGAGGAAGGGAGAGAGATAGAGTTAGAAACATTGATGAGAGAGAAACATCGATCAGCTGCCTCCTGCACACCTCCTACCCGGGATGTGCCTGCAACCAAGCTACATGCCCTTGACCAGAATCGAACCTGGAACCCTTGAGTCCTCAGGCTGATGCTCTATCCACTGAGCCAAACCAATCTTTTTGATACTGGTGCTGCTTTGAGATAGTTTGGCTGCGTTGAAAGCCAGGACTGACTGGCTAAATTTGAAACAACTAAAAATGGGTAATTCTTTTTTTGGTAGCATACACACCATAAGAAAAGTGAGGCCCTAGCTGGTTTGGCTTAGAGGCTAGAACGTCAGCCTGCCAATTGAAGGGTCCTGGGTTTGATTCCAGTTGAGGGCACATGCCCGGTTGCACGCTTGATCCCCAGTAGGGGGCGTGCAGGAGGCAGCCGATCAGTGATTCTCTCTCATCATTGATGTTTCTATCTCTCCCTCTCCCTTCCTCTCTGAATTCAATAAAACAAATATATTGTTTTTAAAAAGTGAGATTGGAAAAGAATTGTTCATTTGAGTTTCTAAAGTTGCCCAGTATAAGGGTCACAAAAGTTAAAAGGTCAAAACAAGAATGTCCAACATGTGGACCCAGGAGGTTCTTTAAAGCTTCATGTACAGGCTTTGAAACCAATGTTGAGAAAAATATATTGCTGATATTGCTGGTAAAGCTAAATATTTTAAAAAAACATTACATTTTGTCAACTATGAAATAATTGGATGAATAATGTAAATATTTATAGTCTATCAAGTCATTGGATGAATAATACAAATATCTGCTAGTTTTATAGTTGAATTAATCCTGATAAAATAAAATATTTCAGCTAGGAATGGTGAAGCAGGAAGAAAAAATATGTTTTTGAAACTTCAAAACATATATATGAAAAAATAGAGTGACTAGATTATATTTATATGCTTTATCTTTGTGTCTTTATATGTATTATAGTATCTGTATTGTTTATTGTATCTTCCTGTAAGATACCTAAAGCTCTTTGTGGAATGAAGCAGGTTGTAAGTAAGTAAAAATAAATGGTTTTCTTTTTTATTCAACAGGAAATGTTGTTTAAAACTAATGAAATATCTTTTAGAAAAATTGAAAGAAAAGTTTGAAGACCGAAAGGAATTGGGTAAATTCTGTTCTTACCACGTGAAAACTGCCTTCTTTCACGTATGTGCCCAGAACCCAGATGACAGTCAGTGGCGAGACAACCTGGAGTTCTGCTTTGATAGATGTCTGGAATACTTTCTTTATTGCCTCAAGTCAGAAAATCTTGAGAATTTTTTTATTCCTAAAGCCAATCTATTCTCTCGAGATAAAATTGACAGGATAAGTAAAGAATTTCTGACAAAAGAAATTGAATATGAAAGAAACAATAGATTTCCAATTTTTGGTGAATTTTGAAAATATATAAAAATATACATCAATTATATATATTTAACTTATTTTTATTGTTGAGAGTATTACTGATGTCCCCCATTTTCTTCCCTTTTGTCCCCCTCCACCCAGCTACTGCCCCACCCCAGGCCTTCACCACACTGTTGTCTGTGTCCATGAGCTATGCATATGTGCATACCTGCAGCCTGGTGCACGGATTCATGCTGCACATTGAAAGGAAATTAATTAGAAGAAAGATTTGTGTGGTAATTACATTACTGCAAAAAATTACATATCAAAATAGTATATTTAATATAGTATTATAATATTACAACACTTGTGCAGTTGGCACCAGTGAGAGCTTTATATGTATTGTGCATGTGTGAGTCAATGTTTATTTTTAAACTAGAGGCCTGGTGCACAAAAATGTGCACTCAGGGGGTCTCTCAGCCCAGCCTGTGCCCTCTCGCAGCCTGGGACCCCTCGGGGGATGTCTACCTGCTGGCTTAGGCCCCCTCCCCGGGGGATCAGGCCTAAGCTGGCAGTCAGACATCCCTCTGGGAGCCCGGGAGCTGTCAAGGGATGTCCACTTGCCAGCGGGGAGCAGTCCTAAGCTGCAGTCGGACATCCTTAGCACTGCTGAGGAGACGGGAGAGGCTTCCGCCACCACTGCTGTGCTGGCAGCCGTTAGCCTGGCTTGTGGCTGAGCAGAGCTCCCCCTGTGGGAGCGCACTGACCACTAGGGGGCAGCTCCTGCATTGAACGTCTGCCCCCTGGTGGTCAGTGTGTGCAATAGTGACCAGTCATTCCCAGTCGTTCTGCTGTTAGGGTCAATTTGGGTATTACCCTTTTATTATAAAGGATTGCCAGTGCGCATCATATGTACCGGCCAGTCGGACAGACGGATAGTTGGTCACTTAGCCTTTTATATATAGATAGATAAGTTCTTTGGTTAATCTCTTCCCAACATCCCACTTCCAACCCCTTCCCTTTGAGATCTGTCAGTCTATTCCATGCTTCCATGACTCTGACCATGTTTGTTCACCAGTTTATTTTGTTCATTAGATTCCACATGTGAGATCATGTGATATTTTTAAAAAGAGAAGAATTAGAGTGACTATAATTGAAATGTTTGGCCCTAGCTGGTTTTGCTCAGTGGATAGAGCGTTGGCCTGTAGACTGAAGGGTCCCCAAGTTCAATTCCAGCCATGGGCACATGCCCAGGTTGCGAACTCAATCCCCAGTAGAGGGTGTGCAGGAAGCAGCCGATCAGTGATTCTCTCTCATCATTGATGTTTCTATCTCTCCCTCTCCCTTCCTCTCTGAAATCAATAAAAATATATATTTTTTAAATGTTTGAAATTTGTCACTGTAATGATGGATAAAAATGAATAAAAAATTATTCTGCTCTATTTGTCTTAAACTAATTAATATTAAAGGGTTGATTCTTTTGGGAAAGAAATTAGTCAAGGAATACAAAGCAAAAGGAGTATTTAAAATCTGAAAGCTTTACCAGACTGGAATGATAAAGACAAAATACATAGTTATCTATCACCTTCATTCATTAAGCCCTTACTGAACACCACTTTTCACCAAGCACAAATGTGTGGAAGGTTGTAAGAGACAATATTAGAAATGACCATTGCCTCCATAAAACTGGTGGGCTTTGTTCAACATACAAATATATTTGGAAGCAGTGTCCTATCCTAAATATTAGGATATATAAGAAGGAAATGAAAATATAAATTCTACATTGTCTTTACATGTCTCAGGAAATTCATAATCTTATAGGAAAATATTGGCTAAATTAATACACGTGGCTAAATATAAAACATGTAATATTTTTTTAAAGTAGCACTTTTATATATATTTCAGAAAAGGCAATACATACACATGGTACAAAACTAAAAGAAACAGGTGTGGAGTTAATTTTGGTAACTTAGGAAAATATAGTCAAGCTTATGAATTCACATTTGTTGACATAATGTTATACACTGTTCTTAAAATTTTTTTGCCTCCATATCCCTAAGGTAGTTAGAGTGGGAAGAGCTGTTCTTCCCGCCCCACTCAGACTTATCAGAAACATATCTATTTGATGGTTCTTACTAAAGAATCAGGCGTTGGCTTTCAATGAACTCTGTATTTTTTTTAAAAAATTAACATATTTTTATTGATTTCAGAGAGGAAGGGGAGAGAGAGAGAGAGAGAGAGAGAAACATCAACGATGAGAATCATTGATCAGCTGCCTCCTGCACGCCCCACACTGATGATGAGAATCATTGATCAGCTGCCTCCTGCACGCCCCACACTGGGGATCAAGCCCGCAACCCGGGCATAGGTCAATGCTCAACTACTGAGCCATGCTAGCCAGGCTGAACTCTGTTATTTCCTAATTAATTTATATTTTTTCCTTTGTTTTCTTATTAATCTTCTTAGGAAACTATTACTGCATGAATAATGTAAGATGAGATGGTGAAGGCCTAATTATACACAAATATAAATACCTACCTAAATACTAAATGTTAATAAAAGTAACTATCATATATGGAATTCAGGAAGCTGTACACAAAACTGTAAGGGAAAGGTGGGGAGTATCATTGGTCAAGGAAATTTCATGGAAATGAAATTTTCCTAGGATTTATTTTAGCATGGGGCTATAGGCTAAAATGTAAGGAACAGCTGTTGCATATTTCATTGCCATGAAATCCTTTTACTGTTTCATTTCAAAGTAGGTGAAGTATAATCACTTAAAAGAACCCCCGAACAAAATACTATTTAGTAAGCGCAAAATTAAAGGGCTCTGCAGACAGACAAGAGATCAGCATGTCTTTTATCATAGAAAAATTTTTATTTTGTTAGTATCTTTTTCATTGCCATGACAATATCCAAACAAGCTTTAAACCCTTTAAAGATTGACTTTAATACAGGAACATTACAGAAGACAAAATTTACTTTTATTTTTAAAAAGTGAAAAAATTTTTATGCTACATTCCTTAATATCCATTACAAAAATTTTCAACTCAAGTTGAAATACTTTTAATTTTGTTAAACTATAAAATATTGAATTCTACATTTTAAAGCACTATTATTTTAATAATCAGTCAAGTCTTTCAACACCATCAGCATGTTTCCATATTTCCATACAGCTGAAGTACTATATCTGTAAAAAATCTTGAGTTCTGAAAAATAAGCAGAAAAAAATGTAAACTGCTGTTCCCAAATCTTTTAAAAGTTATAACTGTGATGAAATACATAACAAAACTTACCATGCTAGCGATTTTTAAGTACACAGTTCAGTAGTAAAGCATTAAATATATTCATTTTTCTACAACCAATCTCTACGACCTTTTCTTTTTGCAAAACTGAAAGTATATCCCCATTAAACATTTCCCCATTTCCCTCTCCCACTAGCTCCTGGCAACCACCATGCTAGTTTGTCTTTTTATTGACCACTCTAGCTACCTCAGGTCCTTATTTCATTGAGCATGATATCCTTTCACTATCCTATCCATGATTTCAATGGATCTGACACATCCATTTTATAGGATGTGTCAGAATTTCCTCTTACGCACCACTTAGTTCATCAATGCATTAACACCTGGTTGCCTCCACCTTTTGGCCATTATGAAGAAAGCTGCTATGAACATAGGTGTACAAATACCTCCTAGGGACCTTGCTTTCAACTTTTTTGGATATATACCCAGAAGTAGATTTGCTGGATTCTATTTTTAATTTTTTGAGTAATTGCTAGTTTGGATAGTGGATGCCCCATTTTACATTCCCACCAACAGTGCACAAGGGTTCTGGTTTCTGCATATCCTGGCCAACTCTTACTTTCTGTTTATTTGGTATTAGCCATCCTAATGGGTATGAGGTGATCTCATCGTGGTTTTGACTGGCATTTCCCTAGTGACTAGTGAGACTGAGCATCTTTCATGTTTGTTGGCCATTGGTACAGGGTGGGGCAAAAGTAGGTTTACAGTTGTTGGTATGGAAAATAATCCTATCTAATAATAGACAAACATGGTAATTAACCATAACTTCGCTACCCTTCCCATTTGCTAATCAGGGCGATATGCAAATTAACTGCCAACTAAGATGGTGGTTCAACAAAGATGGTGGTTAATTTGCATATATAGGCGCAATGCTGGGAGGCGAAAGGGGAAGAAGCCGCCTGCCACTCGGTGATCGGAAACCCAAGTGGCAGCTAAGAGCCCGGTGGCAGGGCAAAAGTGGCCCTGGCACTCAAATGGAAGGAGGCGATGGTGGGGCCCTGCCCCGTGTGCAGCCTGCTCCGTGTGCGGCCAGGCCATCGGCGCAGAGCTCAGGCGGAACAAGGGGATGGCAGGGGGCCCGCCCCGTGTGCAGCCCTTCCTGAGTGCAGCCCCAGCCATCCGCATGGGGCTCAGAGGGAACATGGCGATGGCGATGGTGGTGGCCCAGCCCCCTGTGCGCCCAGGCCATGGGCGTTGGGCTCAGGAGGCTCCACCAGCAAAGCGGGACTGTGGATTAGGAATGGGACAAGGCAGACCTCCTGGTCCTTCCCCTCAGCCGGCAGGCTCCTATCAATCTTCAGTTTCTACTGAAAGGAATGTGGCCCCAACCACTGGGCAGCCTCCCAGGACTCGCAGGCTCTGGAGTC